GGAGGGACCAGTCGCTGGAGAAGGATATCATGTTTGGTAAGGTGGAGGGTCAGAGAAAAAGAGGAAGACCCCCCAACGAGATGGATTGGCCAAGTAGCAGCATTGATGGACTTAAGCGTGGCAACAGTAGTGAGGTTGGCCCAGGATCGGGCAGTGTTTCGTTCTGCTCTGCATAAGGTCACTATGGGTCAGTACTGACTCGATGGCACCTAACAACAACAGCAACAACAATGGGCAAAATATTGAGTGATGCAAAAAGTATCAAAAGACGAAAGAAGGTATACAAAGAACTTCTATACCAAAAATAAAAAGTCAGTGGTCAACCATTTCAAGAAATAGTGTACGATTAAGAACCAATGGTAGTGAAGGTACCATTTGCCACACTTTTGTGAAGCCAGACTACTTGGTACCCAATCCAGACACATTGTCTACCTGATGGCAGCCTAACCATATTGGAGGAATATTTCCTGAAAAAGACACAACTTCATGCCTATAAGCCCTATTACCAAGTGCTGCATTTGCCTGATGTCACACAGCAAGTAGGTGAGGGTTTGAACCCAGGTCTTCTGACTTCAAGTCTAAGACTGTCTCTCACACTTTGTGTCCAGAGGGAGTCAGCTCAAGTATCTATTGGTCTTGACTGACATTATTTATTATTAACTGCTATCATTTTTGGAAGTTTTCTAAATGCTGGGCATTGTGGTGAATACTTTAAGTGTAATCTTCTCAACAACTAGTGAAGTGATTCCTTAATTATCCTCACTTTACCACTGAAGAAACTGAACTCAGAAAAGTTATTCAACATACCCAAGATCACACAGATGGTAACTGTCAGAGTTAGGGTTTAACCCAGGAATGAAGATCAGGGACCATAGGCTTCAGTATGGGTTGCATCTCAATGAAAAGAAAACAAATATCCTCACTAATGGAACAATAAACCACAGCCATATAAATGAGAAAAGACTGAAGTTGTCAAGGACTTCATTTTGCTTGGATCCACCACCAACACTCAAGGAAGCAGCAGTCAAGAAATCAAACAACTATTGAATAAGGCAAATCTTTTGCACAGGATTTCTTTAAAGTGTTCAAGAGCAAAGAAGTCAATTTGAGGACTAAGGTGGGCCTGACCCAAGCCATGGTATTTTCAAAAGTCTCATATGCATGTGAAAGTTGGACAATGAATAAGGAAAACGGTAGAAGAATCGATGCATTTGAGTTTGTTGTTGGAGAAGAATATTAAGGTACCAGGAACTGCCATAACAAACAAATCTGTGTTGGCAGAAGTACAGCCAGAGTGCTCGGAAGAATCCAAGATGGCCAGACTTGTCTCTCATATATCAGACATTATTATCAGGAGAGACCTGGTAGCGTAGTGGTTACAAATCGGGGTGCTAACCTCAGGGACAGAAGTTCAAAACTACCAGTTAGTTGTTCCGCGGTAGAAAGATGAGGCTTTCTGCTCCCGTAAAGATTTACAACCCCAGAAACCCTGTACAAGGTCGCTGAGTCGGAACCGACTCCACCGCACACCACCACCATCACCATCAGGAGAGATCAGTTCCTAGAGAAGGACATCATGCTTGGTAAAGTAGAGGGTCAGCGAAAAAGAGGAAGACCCCCTAAGAGATGGATTGGAACAGTGGCAGCAGCAATGGGGTCGTTCGCAGCAGTAATTGTGAGGATGCCGAAGGACCGGACGGTGTTTCATTCTGTTGGGTCGGAACATACTCGATGGCACCTAACAACAATAAATTCCAAAGTCCATATTCTGAACCACCAAGTGAGGCTGCTATTTTAATAATAACAAGATCCTGAGAAATTACTAATGTACAGATCCTTCTCTCATGTTGTAAATTTCCTCGCCCTCAGATTCCGCCTACCGCCCCTCCCTTCTGTTCTGCCCTTCTCAGCTACGCAAGCGCGCTCCCTCATTCCCTCACAGGGCAGTCGGTGGAGGCGGTGCCGTGAGCATGCTTCGGCAAGGCAGTGCGCGTGCGCGGGGCTGGAACCACTGTCAGAAGGCGTAGAGATGGCGGCTGAGATGGTGTCCACAGAGGAAGCGTCGCCTGAGCCAATGACTTTGGAACAACCTGCGGAGCTGCCAGCTTCGGTGCGGGCGAGCATCGAGCGGAAGAGACAGCAGGCACTGATGCTGCGCCAGGCCCGGCTGGCGGCCCGGCCCTACCCGGCGACGGCGGCTGCTACTACTGGAGGTTTGGGCCCAGGCGGCGCCTGCCCGTTCCCTCGGCACCACCATGGTCCCCGTACAAACTCGCGTGGGTCTGGACCGGGTTCTGGGATCCCCGGGTCCCGGGAACCCGCCCAGCTAGCCTTGTCGAAGCGACTTGCCCAAGACCACGGAGCCATTCTGCGGGAGAAGCCAGGCCTCCTGCTTCCCGGCCGTGGGCTTTTTTTTTTTTACTGCATTTCGTGTGCTTAGCTCGGTTTTGAGCTTGATAATGCAGCCGCCCCTTGGAGGTGCCAGCCAGTGCCTGTCAGCGCCTCAGCTCTCCCAGACATTCCCTTCTGTTCTTACTGTAGGCTTCCACCAGTCTTAGTGAAGGGTCTTGTGTAACCATTGAAGTTATATCCCACACCCTCTCGCTCTTTGATCCATTCAACAAAAAGCTATTGAGTGTATAGGTTTATGAGAGGAGCAAGACCTCCATAACCGCTGCAATCTTGAAGCTAACAGAGTGGCACACGTAGTGACCTCATTTTTCAAAGGGCTTTAGAATTGTTCTGACGGTCAACTTGGCAAACAAATAGGGCAAGATTCGGTATACGTCTTTTACAGATGTAACAGGCCCAGAAAAGGAAGGGATTAGCTCAGGTTCCACCAAGTGCACAGCATAATCTGGAGGGTAATGAGGATCAGAACTAGTGTCTTCTGACCCTGGGTTCAGTGTTGTCACCAGCTGCCTCTGAGAAACTCATCTCTCATCCTCAGGAAGTGTGTGCATGTTGCAGTAAAATTTTATTTACTAAAATTGTTTGTAAGGAACCCTGGTAGCATAGTACATTAGAGCTGAGCTGCTTACCTTTGGGTCAGTAGTTTGAATCTACCAGTCACTCCACGGGAAAAAGATGAGGCTTTCTGCTCTCATAAAGATTTGAAACTTCCAAAACTCTACAGGGTCACTATGAGTCAGAACCCACTCGGTGGAACACAACTACCACCACCAAAATAGGTTGTGAGCCTGATTTGGCCCACAGGCTAGTTAGCCCACCCTGATAGTGATAGGATCAAGTCGGTTTCTCTTTATTTTGTTGATAGGGTAGGTTACAGGTGATTGGTTTTTATTTTGTGAGGTTAATTTTCTTTGAGGTTAGGTTACCGTGTAATTTATGATCTTCCCAAGTATAAAACAGTCCATTTTCTTTTGATTTTGCCCTGACTTGCTCTCCATTTGGAAGTTCGGTAACTATATCATTTATCCCCTTTTTACTTTGTAGTTATCATTTACCGATTGACAACTCTGTTTCCTTATTTTCAGGTTTGTAGGTTTATTTTATTTTTGATACTTCTATATCTGGATTGATTGCCAGGTGATGTCTGTCATTGTTGGTTCTCTGTCTAAAGGACTCCCTTTAGCATTCTTTATAATATGGGTCTGGTTTTTATTGTTGTTGTTGTTAGGTGCCATTGAGTCAGTATTGGCTCATAGTGACCTTATGTACAGCAGAACGAAACACTGCCTGGTCCTGGACCAACCTCGCTATTATTGCCATGTTTGAACCCATTGATGCTGCTACTTTGCCAATCCATCTCTCTGGGGGTCTTCCTCTTTTTCTCTGACCTTCCACCTTACCAAACATGATAGCCAAATACTCGTACTTTTTTTCCTTTGTAGGTAACTTATCGTTTTTCTCAAGCCTCTTAGGATTCTTTGCTTTTTGTTTTGGAAAGTTTGATTATGGTGCATCATGGTGATTTTCTAGCTGGGGGTGTATGTCCTATTTGGGTTCATTGAGCTTGAATGCATATCTGCCTTAAATGATCTTAGAGAAGTTTTCTTCCAACAAATCTTCAGCAATTTTTCAGAGCCCTTTTGGTCTCTTCCTGAAATTCTGATCACACATTAGTTAAGAGCTTCCTTCCCTTTTGTGTCCCACATAATCCTTAGGCTTTCTTCATTTTTTTTTTTTTTTTCCTTCTTATTGTTTCTCTAACAGTATTAAGAAATTTGTCTTCAGTTTCGCAAATTCTGTCTCCTATTGATTCAAATTTATTCTTTTGCCCTTTTCCATGTATTTTCTATTTCTGGAATTTTAGTATTAATCTTCTGGATATCTGTTTGCTATTTAGTGTAGTGGTTACGAATCGGGCTGCTAACCTCAAGGTAGGCAGTTTGAAACTACCAGCGGTTCTGCTGGAGAAAGATGAGGTGTTCTGCTCCCATAAAGATTTACAGCCTCGGAAACCCTGTACAGGGTCATTATGAGTTGGAACCGATTCCATGGTACTTAACAACAACAATTTTTGTATAGTTTATAATTTTCCATTTGTCTTGTCAATTTGATCTTATATTTTTTTCCTGAATTATTCTAGAGTTATGTCTCTTTTCCTTGATTTTTGTCTATAGTCTTGGTGTTGTCTTTGTTTTCCTTGATCTCTTTCTTAATCTGTTGAAGGATCATAAGTATCAATTTTTTTTTAAAGTTTTTATTCTGAATTATGTGGGTTTACATGGGAGAACATCAGTTTTATATTCATCCTATCGTATTTTGTTTCATTGCAATGATTCAAATCCCCTCCATGCATCATCAAACAACCAAAGGGTACACCCCACAGGCCTGCACCCTGGCCGTCAGGGAGGGACTCCCTCCCTGAGTCCAGTATCCCCAGCTGCTCCATCTGTCCACATCATCGTCTCTGCCTCCATTTCTAGCATCACTGCTTCTCTGGGTTGGTTTCTGCACTCTGCACTTCTCACTTGATGGTCCCAGGGAACTCTGCCTCTGGACTGCAAAATCAGTCACTCCCCTCCTTTTGTTATAAAACATCTACCTTTACATTTCTGACCCTCACAGTCAGTCCTGATAGTAATTATTCACTGTTGTACCACAAGAGTCTTATCCCCATCTCCTTTCATTAACCCTACACCAACAGATTGGAAACCATTCAGTGGAGAGCCTACCTTCCCCAACCCTGTCTGGAACTAGGCTCCCTCTTGAAAGCTTGTAAGCCAGTCACTTCTTGCCTTTGTAGCCCCCCCTCCCATTTTGGATATCCAGTGTTTTAAGTTGCCCATCCCTGTCAACCCTGGGTACCGAGGGGGTGGAAGTGAGCCTTGCTATAAAGATTTGTTCCCTTTTTTGAGCTACTGCATCCATAAGTATAGGTAAAATTCATCAAATTATAGTGGGTTACTCTTTTTTTTCCTCTTCTTTCTTCTTCTAGTTGAGTTCTGATCATCCAGCCATTGAAGCCAGGTCAAGTGGGTACTATCTTCAAGTATGGTGTTCTTGTGCATCTCCCCTCACTACATATCAGCTGGATGCTTCACTCTCTGTTCTACTCCTGTATCAATCTTTTAAATTCCTTACTGAGTAGTTCCAATACCATTTCTACCTCTGGAAGATTTTCTGGCCTGGTGTTTTGGTCACATGCTTGAGCCATCTTGTCTTATATTTGTGTGTAATTTTGGTGCTATTATATTTGTTGATTGTATGTTGTCTAATGCTTCAACCTGATTTTTTTATAAGAACGCTGCTTATAGTAATTGAAAATGACTGTACTGTGCTGGGCCAGTTGCAGTTCACCACTGTCTATATTTCTTTGATTGTGGTTTTCATTCAGTTCCTCCCACTAGTAGATATTTGATCTACTTGTGTAATCTGTCCTTTGAAGCTGAGAGTTCCAGTACTGTCATCCTTATACATTTCACTTGTTTTCTTGGGTCTTTGTTGTAAGGTTCTGGGTAGTATATCTGCCTGCCTGCCATCTTGGATTAACCTAAGACTGTTATTCTTTTGGGAATGGGTTTTATCTTCCCTTTTTCTCAGGACAGTCACTGATTAATATCTATCGTGTTCTGGCTGCTGGTTTTGCTCTTGGTAGTGATTCAAACTGTTTATAGATTTATAGAATAGGTTCTATCTTTCCCCTTTTTTTGCCCTACATTCTGTTTTTTTTTTCTGATTGCTGCAATTGCCTTCCAGTTTTCCCCGTCTCTGAATGCCAATCTTTCTAACACATAAGTTGTTTTCTTTCCTATTTAAAACCCTTCCAAAGTTTTCTGTTGCCTTCATGATGAACCCAAAGGTCTTCCATATCACCTGGATCCTCCATATTTCCTTAGCCGTACCTCTTTCTGCCTCATACTTTCTACCCCATCAATATTATAATTCCTCCTCACCTATCCTGCACATGATACTGTTTTTGCCCTGTGTACCTTACCCCTGATGCACTTTACACTTAGAGGGTTCAGCTCACACAGCATCTCCATCACTAGACTGAGCATTCTTAAAGGCAGATCCTTGGTCTTGTGTCTGGTTCTTGTCTCTAACCCTTAACATAAGTGTGATACATAAGTCTTCCTTAGACTGGATAAAAGGTAGGAAGTGTGATAACATAAGTCTTCCTTAGACTGGATAAAAGGTAGGAAGAGTCACTTTTTCTGTACATCCTCCTCCTTCCCTTACAAAAGTGGTCCTATTAAACAATAACACTTATCTTCTATAATAGAATACAATTTAATAAAATCTATTTTTTAAATGGGCTCTAAATATGCTCAAGATTGTACTTTGGTGTTCATGGACTTATTTTAATAGTCCTTAATTCATCTTAAACTTGCATGTGAGCAGTTCATGTTTTGTACCACATTTGGCCCCTGGCCTTGCTATGATTGATATGGAACTTCACCATTATGTTTTTTCACAAAATAATTGACTTTATTTTTGCATATTCCATTTTGTGAGGTCCACATGCATAGTCATCATTTATGTTATTAAAAAAAGGTGTTTCTAATTAATAAGCTGTTGGTCTTGCAAAATTCTTTCATATGATCTCCAGTGCCATTTCTGTTGTCAAGGCCATATTTTCCACCCACGGGTCCTTCTACTCTGTTTCCAACTTTCACATTCTAACCACCAATAATTAGCTATGATTGCATGTTTGATCAATTTCAGACTGCAGAAGCTGGTAAAAATCTTCAGTATCTTCATCTTTGGAATTAGTGGTTGGTACGTAAATTTGAAAAATAATATTCACTGGTTTTCTTTGTAGGCACAGGATAGTATCATACCGCTGACAGTGTTGAATTTCAGGGTAGATCTTGAAATGTCCGTTTTGATGATGAATGGGATGTGATCCCTCATTAATTTGTCATTTCTGTCATAGTATACCATATGATTTTCCAATTCAAAATGACCAGCACCAGACCGTTTTAGCTAATGAAATGTCAAAGACTTGGAGTTGAAGAACAAGATTGGCAATTCCCAAAGGGAAAGAACTGAAAAAAAAAAAAAAAAATGCAAGCCTAGAGTTGCAGTCTTGAAGGATTCTATGGAGAAAATAGAGAGTGATGTAACAAGCATCAAAAGATGATAGATAGAATAGTCACTGTACCAGAAAGAATTGGTACATGTTCAGCCAGTTCAGGAAGTAGCATATGATCAAGAGCCAATGGTATTGAAGGAAAAAGTCCAACCTGCACTGAAGACATTGGTGAAAAAAAACTCAATATCACACACAGTAAAATTTTATTGATGATAATTCAAAAATATTACAGCAGTACTTGGATGAAACTGCCAGGAATCCAGGCTGTGTTCAGAAGAGGATGTGAAACAAGGGGTATCATTGCTGATGTCAGAGAGATCTTGACTGAAAACATAGAACACCAGAAAGATGTTTCCTCTCTTTTATTTACTACACAAAGGCATTCAGTTGTGTGGATTACAAAAATTATGGATAAAATTGCAAAGAATGGGAATTCCAGAACACTTAATTATGCTCATACGGAACCTGTATGTAGACCAAGAGGCAGTTGTTTGAACAGAACAAGGGGATACTAACTGATTAAAAGTGAGAAAAAGGTGTATGTCAGGATTATATCCTTTCACTATACTTATTTAATATGTGTGCTGAGCAAATAATCCCCAAAGCTGGACTATATAAAAAAAATGTGGCCTCAGGATTGGAGGGATTCTCATTAATAACCTGTGATATGCAGATGATACAACCTTGCTTGCTATAAGCAAAGAGGACTTGAAGCACTTAACTAATGAAGATCAAAAGACTACCATCTTTAGTGTGAATCAGACCTCAGCGTAAAGGAAACAAAAATCCTCACAACTGGACCTATAATTAACATTATGATAAATGGAGAAAAGATTGAAGTTGTCAAAGATTTCATCTTAAATGGATCGAATGCCCTTGGAAGCAGCAGTCAAGAAATCAAATGACATACTGCATTGGAAATTCTGCTGCATAAAACCTCTTTAAAATGTTAAAGAGCAAAGAAGTCACTTTGATGGCTGAGGTGCACCTGATTTGATTCACAGTATTTCCATTCACCGCATATGCCTGCAAAAATTGGACAATGAATAAAGAAAACAAAACAGAAGTGATGCATTTGAATTATGTTGTCAGTAAAGAATGTCATGGACTACCAGAAGAACAAAGGAGCTCTGGTAGCATAGTGGTTACAAGCTGGACTGCTAACCTCAAGGTCAGCAGTTTGAAACTACTAGCTGTTCCACGGGAGAAAGATTAGGCTTTCTGCTTCCATAAAGATTTACAGCTTTGGAAACCCTATACAGAGTTTATACTATGAGCTGGAAGCGACTCCACGGCACCTAACCACCACCACCACCAGAATAACCAACAAATCTGTCTTGAGGAAGTACAACCAGAATGCTCCTTAGGAAGGAGGGTGGTAAAACTGTGTCTCACATACTTTGGATGTGTTATCAGGAAGGACCAGTCCTTGGAGAAGGACATTGTGCAGGAAAAAGGACGGTCCTCAATGAAATAGATTGACAGAGTAGCTGCAACAGTGGGTTCAAACAGCAAGAGTTGTGAGGATGGTGTAGGACTGAGCAGTATTTTGTTTTGTTGTACATGAGGTCACCCTAAATCAGAACTGACTGGATGACGCCTAATTACAACATAAACCAAAAATCAAATCCACTGCCATTGAGTTGATTCCAACTTTTAGTTTAGATATAGTGTTTTTGAGACTAAATCATTAAGGGAGCAGAAAGCTTCATCTTTCTCCTGAGGAACTGGCTGGTGGGTTTGAACTGCCAACCCTGTAACTGGCAGTCCAGTGTCTACAGGGCCACTTGGAATACTAATACCTGGATTGAGTTCTGGGTGGTGGTATGATGTATGGTAATCTCAGATTGTGTCTGCTGTTTTGGGTTCTCAGTCCAAAGACCATCCTTAAGAATTTTTTGTAAAACTGGTCTGGTCTTTACAAATTCCTTTAATTTCTGTTTTATCAGGAAACATCCTAATTTGACCTTCATATTTGAGGGACTTTGCTGTGTAGTGTATATGGTCCTTAGTTGGCAATTTTTTTTCTTTATAGATGTCATTTCCTTGCCTTCTTGCCTGCGTGATTTCTGCTGAGAAATCAGAGCCTAGTCTTACTGATTCTTCTTTGTAGGTAACTTTTCATTGTTCCTGAGCTACTCTTTGGATTTTTTCCTTGTCTTTGATTTGGGAAAGTTTGATTATGATAGGACTTGGTGATTTTCTTTTGGAATCTATCTGGTTTTGGGTTTGTTCAGCTTCTTATATGCTTATCTTTTCATCTTTTGTGATATTGTTGTTATGTGCCGTGGAGTCGGTTCTGACTCATAGCAACCCTGTACAGGGTTTCCAAGACTGTAAATCTTTATGGGAGCAGAAAGCCTCATCTTTCTCCCGCGGAACAGCTGGTAGTTTTGAACTGCTGACCTCATTAGGGAAGTTTTATTAAAAAAAACTCTTCGATAATTTTCTCTGTGCCTTTTATTGTCTCTTCTTCTTCTGGATCACCTGTAAGTTGTTCCTCTTACTGGTGTCCTACGTAACTCTTAGGCTCTCTTCAACAGTTTTTCATTGTTGTTTCTGATTGTTCTTCTAGCATACTAGAATTGAGACATCTATCTTCAAGCTCACTCATTTGGGCTTCCAGTGCTTCAAATCTTCTCCAGTTCTGAAATCTTAGAATTAATCTTATGGATTTCTAATTTCAGGTTTTATATTGTTTCAAAATTTGCATTTTTTTGTCTGTCTATTCTTGTAATGTTTTCCTGAATTATTTTAATGTATTTCTGTGTTCTTGCTTTCCTCAATCTTTCTGTTAATCCTTTGAAGATATCTAAATACCTTTAAAAAATTTTTTTTTCAGTTAGTTCCATCACCATTTTTTTGTCTGTCTGTTCTTGTAATGTTTTCCTGAATTATGGAGCTGGTTTCAGTGTCTGTTAGGATCATAGCGCTGATGGAGGCAGGGACTAGTTAAATGCTGGTCTGGTGGCTCTGCAGATTCTGTAGGTCTAGAACTGAGCCCCACCTGAATCCAGGTACCAAAGCGGTGCATCAGGCCCCAACCATGTGGCTCTGAACTGGAGAACAGGGGGGATGGATAGGGATGGATGAGCATGGGTGCTGGCCACCAGGGGAGTGTGGGAAAAAATAATTAATGCCTTTCCCGTGTCCTGTATGAATATGCTCTGCCAGACCACCTTCTATTGCCAAAGCTGCTCACAAGATGGTCACCCTGCGTTTGGCCAGCCATTTACCAGTCAGTCTCCCTCTCACTGTCCCTGCTCACCTTCTCCCAGTAAGCACTCAATCCACTTCTCCAACCTTTCCTCTGAAGTTCAGGGTTCCCAAATTTTCATCTGTGTCTGTTTCATAGTCTCTGGTATCTTTGTTGTAGAGGGTCTGTGTAGTGTGTTTGCCAGTCCATCATCTAGCCAGACCTGTGTATTCCTAAACTTCATGTTGCACAGAAATGAGTTAGCAGAGCAGGCCTGAGACTGCTATCCGTACTTGAGACCTTAGGTAAACACTTGGGAAATTGTGTTTTGGGAGTGTAAACGATAAAGATTGTTTACACTGCCTAAACTGTATCAACAATGTGTTTTATTCTATACACCTGCTTAGATTTCTGGGTGTCTGGAATTTTGGTATGTGCTAGGCAGAGGGTGGCTGTGTGACCATCCCCAATAAACACCTTGGGTTCTCTGGTAGCCAATGCCTCACAAGTGTTGTCACATGCAGTGCTAGATGAATTAAATGCATCCTTTGATGGCATTGGGAGAGGATTTTTGGATGCTTGTCTGGTTTCCCCTGGACTCCATTCACCCTATATACTTTTTACCCTTTGCTGATTTTGCTTTCTCTCCTTTTGCGTATTAATAGATCATAATCATGAGTCCTAGTGTGGCACTCTAGGGTAGCCACTGGGCTGCTAACTGCAAGGTTGGCAGTTTAAACCCACCAGTCTTCCTTGGAAACGCTATACAGGGTCGCTATGAATCGGAACCAGCTTGACGACACTTAACGAGTATGACGGTTAGAATCAGCTCATCAGTCCCCCACCCTCTAATTCTTGGAATTTTAAATGGGATCACACTGACTTTTTGGTAAATCTGGGGGAGAATTGACATCTATACAATGCTTAGACTTCCTATCCATGGACATAGTGTGTTTTTAAGTTTATTTAACTCTCAGGAGTGTTTTATAGTTCTCAGTGTAAAGAAGTTTTATTCATTACTTCCTAGGTGTTTGATATTTCTTAATTTTAATTGTAGATCCTTGTGGATTTAATATATATATATATATAATTATATAATCTGTGAATAAAGATATTTTACTTTTTTCTTTCCAATTATTCTGCCATTTTCCCCTTGGCCTTATTGTACTCATTAGGTCCCAGAGTATAATGTGGACTAGAAGTGTACATCCTCATCTTGTTTGATGTATAACCAATGTAAAGAAAGTTCCTATTTATGTTCAAGGGAACATAAGGGTTTACTGACTTCAGGTGTTGACTGCTTTTCCTCTTTATAGGCATGGTGAATGTGAAAGCAGCCCCAAAGGTAATTGACACAGGAGGAGGCTTCATTTTGGAAGAGGAAGAAGAGGAGGAACATAAAATTGGGAAAGTTGTTCATCAACCAGGTGGAGTATGTTTTTCAGAAAAATAGATCGTCTAGGATTGGTTATTTTGAAAGCTGTGTAATTCTTTATAAATTTAGGTTAAATAACACTGACCTTACTTTATTCAGCGGGCATAGTAACTTAAAATGTGATAAAGCCTGACAGTTTTGCAAGTAAATTAAAAGCTGAAGAAACACACATATGGAAATGATCAGTAATTTAACTTGTACTGTGTTTCTGAGTGTGTACTGAGGGTTGAAGGTCTCTGTTGCTAGATCATAGACAACGGCAACTAATACATTGACTGTGTTGTTGTTGTTAAGTGCTGTCGAGTCAGTTCTAATTCCTAGCAACCCTGTATAGGGTTTCCAAAGAGTGGCTGGTGAGTTTGAACCACCGACCTTGTGATCCAGTGCTTTATCCCACAGTGCCACACCAGGACTCATATTGACTAAAGAATACTCAAATTATCTTGGTAAGCTGAAATGAAGGCCCAGAACCTAAGATATAAAGTTTAGGTAAATGTTTGATTTCTGTTAGGAGGGAGAAAGCTGTTTACATCACTATACTCACAACTCACTACCATCTAGTCAGTCCTGACCCATAGCTGCCTTATGTAAGGTTTTCAAAACTATAAATCTTTACAGCAGCAGATGACCTCATTTTTTTTTTTTTTTTTTCACTTTGGAGCAGTTGGTGGGTTTGAACCTGCAGTTAGTAGTAGTCCAGTGCTTATCCTACAGCATCACCAGAGCTTCTAAATATGTTATGTTGTTGTTGTTGTTGTATACCGTCGAGTGGATTCCAACTCCTAGCAATGCTGTGTCGGGTTTCTGAGACTGAAAGCCTCAGTTTTCTTTGGTGGAGTGGCTGCTGGATTCACACTGCCCAGCCTGCAGCTAACAGCCTAATGCATAGCCCACTATGCCTCCTGGGCACTTCAGATTGTTTCAGTAAATCAATGATAATAAGTTCAGGATGGTGATACTTTCACACTCTGAAAAATTAAAGAACTGGAAACTTTATATGACCGTAAATTTGATAGCCAATACGAGTGTAATGTAAATTTTAAAAATAATCTATTTTAATCTCTAGCTGTAGCAACAGACACGTATTCCTTAAGGTAGGTAAGAGTCCTTTTCTGCTTGGTAAGTCTTAACTCTTATTTTCAGAAGGTTAGATTTGAGGAATTACTTCACATCCCATACTTTTAAGATTTATTGTTAGGTGCCGTTGAGTTGGCTTGAACTCATAGCAACCCTACATACAGCAGAACGAAACACTGCCTGGTCTGTGCCATCCGCATAACTACTGTTGTGTTTGAGCCCATTGGTGCAGCCAGTGGGTTAGTCCTTGTCACTGAGGACTGTCTTCTTTTTCACTGACCTTCTAGTTTACCAAGCATGATGTTCTTGTCCATGGACTGGCCCTCCTGATAACATATCCAAAGTATATGAGATAAAATCTTGCCATCCTCGCTTCTAAGGCCATTCTGGCCTACTTCTTCCAAGGCAGGTTTGTTCTTCTGCTGGTCATAGTACTTTCAATATTCTTTGCCAACACCATAATTCAAATGTATCATTTCTTCTCTGGTCTTTTTTTCATACATTGTCCAGCTGTCATATGCATATGAAGTGATTGAAAATACGCCTACAAGGAAGATCAATTTTAGTACAATGGTTATTCAGATTTATGTACCAACCGCCAAAATCAATGATAAAGAAATTGAAGAATTTTTCCAGCTTTGTCAGTCTGAAATTAATCAAACATGTAATCAAGCTGCATTAATAATTACTGGTGATGGGCATGCAAATACTAGAAATAAAGAGGAAGGATTGGTAGTTGAAAAATATGTCCTTGATGATAGAAACACTTTTAAGAGGGATACAGACAAATGTTTAGTGTTCAAAAGAGTGCCCAAAATTGACATACTAGGAACCAGTGAAAAGAGGAAGGTCTGCAACAACGGGCTCAAACGTAACAATAATTATACGAATGATACAGGACCAGGCAGTGTTTGTTCAGTTGTCAAAACTAGTTCAGTTTAACTCGGCTTAGACTTGCAGCTGCCTACAGATACACTATGGCCTCTTTAATGACGAGAGATTCGCTTGGTGAGCAGAACTTGAAACAGTGGGTGAGCATTATAGTCAGGACATTTTGGCCCTATGTAGTAGTGTCACTTTAAACACATTTAGCACTTTGCACTTAAGAGTGTTGGCATGTGTGTCATGTGAGCCTCAGTGACTTTCAAATAGGGAAACATCTCAAGCTGGTGAAATACTGCCTCAAAATAGCAGAGCACTGAAGGGGTTCCCAGAGTGAAAGACCATTTGAACAGGATACTACAGAGAAGCGCGCTATTAGGAGGGAAGGCTTACTGAATTAAATGATCAAAGCTTTGAAGTTCTTAGGATAAATGTATATGAAGACTCAGTATAGAATCCTGAATTTACTATGATCTAAAAGAGATCACTCAATACGTATTTGTTGAGAACTTTTTTATATGACTTCATTTTTTTATGTTTAGATAAAATAAGATTAATCTGTTTTATTTTGTCTTTATATGTATTTATATTGGGCACACAGTAAATGATAATAAGCTAATAGAAGAAAATGTATTGTTCTGGTTATGGAAAAAGGATATTTAAAGAATTACTCTTCTTTAGGACCTGTTATGGAATTTGATTATACAATATGTGAAGAATGTGGGAAAGAATTTATGGATTCTTACCTAATGAACCACTTTGATTTAGCAACTTGTGATAACTGCAGGTACTTATTTTGTTTCAATGTTCTTCATTATTAATGTTTAATGCTTACATACAGGTTTTGGCCAAAACAGTAGATCCTTTTGAATTTAATGGTTCCTTAATAGTTATGATTTTTATTTTGGGACTTTCATAAAATTTATGTGGTTTCCATTTTCAGAAAGAAATAGTATCTAGCCTGTACTTGTCTAACAAAGGTATTCCTCATATAGGAAAGAAAGACACTAATGGTCTGGCCATAGAAATTTTCTTTTCCTTTCTGTTGGCCTGTGGGTATTACCATCTCTCAGGAAGAGGTCCCCAACCCTTCTCTTCACCCAGTCCCCAAGAATCTTCCTGTTGCTTACTTGTCTCTGTGTATGCTGACTGTTCAGAGGACTGGAGCCTTCAGTGAGAGAAGTCCCGTCAACCACTGGTTTGTACTTATAGATCATTGGGGAAAAGACTCGAGGGGGACAGAGCATAACTAGAACACTCCCACAGTGGCCCTGGCAAGAGTTGATGGCAGCGTGGGAGAGAGGATGGGAAGTGGATGGATTCAGGGTATGCTTTGGTCCTCTAAGCCCACCTCTTTCTACTCAGTTTTTGCTCCCCTGGACAGGCAAGGAAGAGCATACAAAAAATCACATTCTTCTGTCATTCTGTCTTCTAATAGCCTTTATCCTCAAACTGTGCCAACCCAATCCTTACTCCTCTGTCTCTATTGCTTACCTTAGCCAAGCCCTGCGCTGGTGTGCTTCCCAATTACACGTGGTTTTGTGATCGAATCCTTTGCTAGAACCTTTGATTTCTCCCCTTCCTGACCTACACCTGCTCCTCTTTTGTAGTCACTATTTCAGTCAAGACCTCCTTCATCCACTGGTTATTTCTCTACTGCTATTGTCATTGTTATTAAATGCCTTCAGGTCGGATCTGACTCATAGCGACCCTTACAGAGTTTCTGAGGTGCAGCTGGTAGGTCAGAAACGCCAGCCTTGCAGTTGGCAGTCCACTGCTTATCCTACAGTGACTATCCCATGTTTAATTACAAATCTGCTTTTGTTTTATGTTCAAAACATTTCTTGAATCCATTTACTTTTCATTCATTGTCTTTCCCATTGCTGCCTCAGTTTGGGCTGCCATCAGCTTTTGCCAGGACCACTATGGTAGTATTCCAACTGCTTGCTGGCCCCGTTGAGTCTTTTCTCCATGTAGCAGCTGATGATCTTTTAAAAATATAAACCAGACCATGCCATTCTACTACACTCAGAATACCATTCAGTGTCTACCATTGCTTACAAGCCCTTGCCTTTCTGACTTTAGCTCCCTCCCATCCTCCTCACTTACTTTAGACATTCGAATCCCACCACCTACTTGCTGTGAGCTTCCATTGCAAAGCATACTACTCCTCCCCTAGAGCTTTTGCGCTTACTTTCCCTGGACTGTGACTGTACTTTGGCTATCCAGAATGCTCTTTACCTTTGTTAAGGGTTGCACTCAAATGTCATGGCATTAGTGGCCTTTTCTGGTGACTTTGGCCTATTTGGGAACTTCTGTCCCTTACAGTGGCCTATAGTTCTCTTTGAACTCTTGGTGTGGTGCTGTAAGAGCAAGAGTGGACTTCAAACCACAAGGTCGGCAGTTCATACCCACCAACTGTTCCTGAGAAACCTTATACAGGGTCACTATGAGTCAGAACTGACTTGACACACATTGTTATATTACCTTCTGTTATTTGCTGGTTGCTTACCACCTCCGTATTAGAACATAGCCTTCACGAGAACAGGGCTTTGTTTGAGTCTCTGCTATATATTCTCAGTGCCTCAAACCTAGCACATAGATGGAAACCAGTTGTATGATGGGAAGAACTATGTAATTACTGTATCTCTTCATTGTTACCTGGGTTTTCCTAAAGCTCAGTGTCAACTCGTGTTAGGTGGTTGGTCTTTGCATAAATTTATATTCCTTACTTTCTGCCCATCGTGACTTTATGCTTTAATTTGTATTTTCTTATTGAATTTTTGCTAACAGTTTTATTTGCTCTATTTCAATTCCTTTTAGCATACAAGAGACTTTAAATAAGTATAAAAGAAATTGTTGAATTGTTAAATGGTAGCCATCTACTAATGTAATAGCTTCTCAAGATAAGCAAAAATATTTTTCAATTTTTTAATTTGACCATGAAAGTTGTAGGAAGATGTATTTCTCTTATGACACATACGCTGCTAGGTGACTGAGCTATTTGGGTACTTAGTAAAAGAATGAGCTCATAATGGACTTCATCTGTTTTCAGAGATGCTGATGATAAACACAAACTTATAACCAAAACAGAAGCAAAACAAGAATACCTTCTGAAAGACTGTGACTTAGAAAAGAGAGAACCAGCCCTTAAATTTATTGTGAAGAAGAATCCTCATCGTTCCCAGTGGGGTGATATGAAACTCTACTTAAAATTACAGGTCCCTACTAGTTGTATTCCTTTATTTCCAACTCTGGACCAGGTGACAGTTTAACAACGAACTAATAATACCCGTTCAGCTTTGCTTATAGAGAGCTACAAAGCCCCTCTGCTTTGTTGGTTTGTATCAGTCACAGTCATGTGAAAGGGCATGTCAGAAAGTCTTGCTATAAAACCATATAATCCTTTATTGCACAAAAATAGCAAAATGTGAACCTTTTGTTTATCAACATATCCTCTGCCTAAGTCTGGAAGTGTCCACCTAACCCTCCCCCAAAGAATTCTGCCCTCTTTATTGACATCAAGTCAAAATGGCAGTTTTGGCATCTTCGAGGGATCCAAATAATGTTCCTTTTCAATGTTCTTTGCATTTTGGGAACAAAAAGAAGTCTAAAGGGACAAACAAGATCAGGCCTGTATGACGGATGGGGTAAGGTTTCCCAACAGATTTCTCAGAGAGGCCTTGCTGCCCTTGAATAAGCAGGTGCATTGTTTGATGGAAAAATTCCCCAGTACAAGTTGACCTTGTCCTTATCACTATGCTGTTTTCACTTTTCTTAAAACATCTTAATAAGTCTTTAGGGTTGTTCTCTGTCCTTGCAGAAAATGTATCAAGATTATTCCTTTGGGATCCCCCAGTCACTAACCTTCTGAGCTGACCTCTCTGCCTTGAGCTTAACCGGGGCCCAGCTGAGTTCCTTGAAAGGTTTTGATTAGACCTTGCTTTCTAGATCCTTGGCTCTGATCCATTCCATAAAATTATCTTCATTAGCTTTAATCTGGTTTTAAAAAATAGAAGGACGCTTTCATTGTACAGCACTTTTTTTATTATCCTTTTTGTTGTTGAAAGCACATGCTTTCAGCAAGTGTATAATTGAGAGAACTTGTCTGCAGGCATCCACAGATCACAGAGACATGTTTAAACACATTTTACTTGAAATAAATCTTTGTGTGTATGAACTGGAACCTCAGTAGCAATATTTTTTAATTTACCCTTTATAACATTTAATAGCATAATACTCTTTTTATTTTACTTTTTGGCACGGCCCTTTGGAACCAAAATGTTAAGAGTATAATTCAGAAAGCAAAAAAGTCTGAAGGGGAAAATGTTTTTTAAAAGATGATACATTTTTTTAGAGTCACAAATCCCTAAAGTCACACACTCTACTTGGGAAACACCTGTCTGGAACTCAACAAGTGTCCAGGTAACTGTTTCAGAGCAGAGGCTCAGCTGCTGGGCCACTTGCTGCAGATGGGTTACATGTGTGCCAAGTTTTTAATGCCCAGCGCTGCTGGAGTGCCTGAGCTAATTACCTTGAATAACAGCCTCCTGTGTCTACCCTGTGAGTGTTGCCAATAGTCGATTTTAGTGCCACTATAAAGACTGGGAGGCAATGCTTTACACCATAGTTTGAATCAAATGCACTAGAAAATCCCATGTCTTCAAGTAAAACAATACATTCAAAGAAGAAAGGATTTCTCTTTATAATCTAATTCAGTACGTATGAGAGGGCTTTAGAAAAGTTCATGGAAAAATGGAATGAAAAGATAATGGAAATTTTCCACAAACTTTTTTGAAGCCACCTCCTATTTGTGGTTGTTGTTACTAAGTGCTGTTGAGTCAGTTCTGACCCATAACAACCCTGTATAGGGTTTCCCACGAGTGGCTGGTGGGTTTGAACCTCCAACTTTGTGGCTAAAACTGACTTTGTAGTCCAGCGTGTTATCCCACAGTGCCACACCAGGACTCCCATATTTACTGAGGGTTTATTAGACAGATGTTATTAGATTTACGAATATTTTTGAACTTTTAAATTTAAAATTTTTTGTAAATTTTTACTTGAGTTAAATCATTATTTGGCACCTGTAGATTTATTAATGATAACTTTATGGTATTTTTCAACTTTGAATCATAACTAATTTAAATATGGATATTATGTTGTAGGTTGTGAAAAGGTCTCTTGAAGTTTGGGGTAGTCAGGAAGTGTTAGAAGAAGAAAAGGAAGTTCGACAGAGAAACCGGGAAAAAATGAAACAGAAGAAGTTTGATAAAAAAGTGAAAGGTATGTGTCTAAATTTTAGAAATGTGTCGGAAACCCTGTACAGGGTCGCTATGGGTCAGACCCGACTCGATGGCACTTAACAACAACAACTGTCATAGTGACCTTGTATAGGGTTTCTGAGGAGCGGCTGGTGAGTGTGAACCAACCTTGCAGTCCAGCACATTAACCCTCAGTGCCATACCAGGACTGTAATGCAAAAACCTTTAACTAAGTTCTTTCTGTGTGAAGAATAGATTGGAATAGATTTTTTTCAGATTGGAAAAAACCATCTGTCTTCTGTAGTTTGTAGTTGTGATTCATATCAAACCTCACAGGACTGCTTTTCTGAAAAGCATGTAAGTCACCATTTTAAAAGGCATCATGTTTTTATATAGGCACAATGTTATTAGGCTTTGGATGGTGGTATTCCTGGTCAAGGGTTTGGCACTGATTAAATCTTGACTAATAGTGTGTGTATATATATATATATATAATAACAATAAAATCTGTACTTGTTTAAATAAAAAAATTCTTAAGCATCTAGCAGCTAGGAGGGACCTTCTGACATTACTTTATTGTGGTTGCTAAGTACCATCAAGTTGGTTCCAACCCATAGCAACCCATATAGGGTTTCCATGGTGTGGCTGGTGAGTTTGAACCACAGACCTTGCAGTTCAAAACTAATTTGCAATCCAGCGCATTAGCCCACAGTGCCACACCAGGACTCCTCTGGCATTAGTTTAATTGCTTTTATTTTTTGTATGAATAAGAGACCTAGAAAGGTGGACTTACTGAGTTGATAGTGAGAAAGTTGACTGGAATGAGGTTTCCTTGATGTGTCAGTCTGTACTGTACATTCATCTCTCCATCCATACAACTCTCCATCCATCTATGCATGCATTCGTCCATGTTCTACATCCCCCTGTTTACGTGTGACTGTGAGTCATCTGTCCCTCTACCAGTGTTTACTAAGTGTCAACTATTTGACAGGCAGTGGGCCCTGGCAGTGGGTTTGGGTTTGGGGAGCTAACATAAATGCAGACAGTCTGTTAGGGAAGAAAGGCAAACTTAAAATCCTAACAGGCTGGGCTAAGTACTAAGAGTGCTGACCATAGTGTGCATAGTGAACAAAGAGCAAATTCTGCTCTCATGAATCCTTGAAATTGAGTCTTCAAATGTTATTCATACATTAGTTGTATAATCTCATTATGGTATACAGTCTAGACAGCATGTGTTTAATTTTAGAATTAAAAGTTTTTTGGAGAATGAATGCAATAGCTCAGACATCTTGAAAACAAAACAAAAAATGTTGAATATGAGTCTCATTTGAGGGAATTAGCCCACACACAGCCCCTAATTTCCTTAGTACAAGTATACAGTACAGAAGTCAGAAAACTACAAAAAACATATTACATGATTCTACTACCCACAGGTAACTATAAGTAGGCTTCAGAAAGTTCATGGAAAACTGGAATAGAAAGATAAAGGAATTTTCCACACTTTTTGATGCCCTCTTAACACTTTAATATTTGTCTTCTAGATAACCCATTGCCATCAAGTCAATTACCTCTCAAGTGACCCTCTTGGACAGAGGAGGAGACCCAGTCCATGGGGTTTCCCAGGCTGTAAATATTTACAGATGTGCCAATCTTTTAGTTAGCAACCAAGAGTGACCCTTTTAATACTTTTATAAAAATGGAAGCACTGTTGGACATTTCTCAAGTTTGAGACTACCCCATAATAAACATCTTCATATACCTCTTTGCAGATAGTAGTTTAAGGTATCAGCTCGAGTCAGATGGAATGTCCACTTTGAAGACTTTGTACAGAGGTTTACTGTAGCAAACTAGATCATATAAAACCATTTCTTGAAGAATCTTTCCAAACTTAGCCATTGTCACAGCATTCAGAAACCAGCAAGGACCAATTGATGTGGAAAGACTAATGAATTTGGCCCTTTTTGTCATAACCTTTTCAGTTTTCTATCATACCCTTCCTCTCTTCCAACATTAATAGAGAGAGCCTTGAAAAATATAGTAGTAGTAACACAGCGTATTCAGGTGTGAGAAAGGAGGGTGTCTGTGTGGAGTAGGGTTTTTACTTATCCTAGCTTCCTGAATCGACCTCAATATTTCCCTCGCTGCTGCTTCCTTAACCCACTTTCCTTTGGTATTTTGGTGTAGATAAAGGAATAAAGTATTAAAAATTTTTATTTTCAAAGTGACAAATATTTTTTAAAAATCTGCAATTGTTTTTGTAGTTGGATCAAGATATCATCTAATGGTGACTAGTGCTATAATTTGACTAATACAAAATGACAGTTTAATTTCATGCTTTTTACAATAAAAATTCTGCAAGTATATTTATTAAATATTATTAGCATGAACAGTTTTGGGTGGTTAGATTAAAAAATTTCATGGAAAAATTGTAATTAAAAGAATAGAAATTTTCCATTACTTTTTGAAGCCTTTAGTATACAATTCTCATAGGTTTTTTTTTTTAATGACAAATTCAGATAATTATTAATTACAAAATTACAAAATTTCTCTCATTATGTTAAGTTGCTATGCATAATCTTGGTAAATTAAGAATTTCCTCATCCTTGAGAAGTTTGATTTTTGCTCTGAAGTTTTTTAAGAGTTAACACTTTACAGGCCTGGTTTCTTTTATTTTAGTTCATCTCATTTGGATGGAGTCTTTTCAGGAAGAATTTCCAAGTGGTTACATGAGTGGCATATTTTACAAGTCCCTACACGTTTCCAAGAATGTTTTTCTGTTGCATATGAAATCCTGAGTTATCTTAGTTTTGTAAACATTACTTTATTATCTTCTGGTGTTTAAATGTGCAGGGATGTCAAAGTGACTCTTTAATTCTGGCTTCTTGTTGATTTAATTTAGAGGTTGGTGGATTATGTTCCTGCCCTCCTGACTCGGCCACAAGGGCTGAGAGTGCTGTAGACACAGTAGAGATTAGAAACAAGGAATTTACTGTGCAGTTTACTCAGAACAGAGAGGAGTAAAAGCAAGTCTAGAAGTTTGCTAGTTAAAAAGAAATTGGAACCTGGTTCCTCTGATCTTCTGTTTTGATCCACGAAGAAGTTGACACAAAAGTTGCTCTCTTTATGGAAAGGTAAGAGATTATATTTACTTGCTTTTAGATTGTGTTATTCTACTTTTAGCAATTTGAGAATTATAGGAAAAACTTTAAATAGTATAAGGAATATATACAAGTAGTCAAGGTACAAGGGAAAGAATTTTGTCAGTGATTTCAAGCTGTTAAAGATCTTAGTTCCAAGGCATCACTTGTTTTTGTTGGTAGGTGTTGTAGAGTTGGTTCTAACTCATAGCAACCCCATGGCACAACAGAACGGAACACTGTGTGGTGCTGCGCCACCTCACAATTGTGTGTGAGCCCATTGCTGCTGACACTGTGCCAGTCGAAGGCATCACTACTGCTCAGTTTGAGTTTCAAAAAAAATGTTGGCTTTGGCCTTGATATTGAATGTGAACTTTCAGTTGGTACAAATACACCAAACTTCTAGGTCTGCAAGCCTCTTTTCTTCAAAGTTACACTCTGCCTTCTTGTACCTAGGATTGGTGGCAGCTACCATTCTAAAGAAAGGAAAAGAAATGAATCACCATTTACTCCTATGCAGTCTCTCCCCCCAAAAGAAAAATTAAAATAATAAATTCTTATCTTTGGGCCCCTTCTAAGGTGGGCATTTTATATCTAAGACCTGTGTTTAGTATTTGTGACTGCATTGAGGTTTATCTCAAGACAGTTTGGAGGACACAGCTCTCTGCTAATTTGCTTCATTTTGCAGACTAGAAATGAAATGAGCCTATTGATTTTTCTCCCTTGGTTTAAAAAGGAGCCTCCTAAGTTAATACTGCTTGTTCTCTTGTTAAGGCTTTAAAGTGTCTAGTTCTTAATAAAAGTTTACCTTATAACATCATTGGGCTTCTAGGAATAAAGGTAGCCTCTTTTATAAAGTTAAGTTTTCACTGAAATAAGGACTAGGGGAAAACGCTGGTAAAAAGTATAAGTAGCCCCTGAGGATATCAGTAGCCAAGCTCTATACAGAAAGTTGGTGAACATTTCCATTTCCCATGAACTCTGAAAAGCCCCCTTGTATAAGTGAAAACATGGAGTTCACAGTGATAGGCCATTCTAATTACAAAATTATTATGAATTAAGTGAAGGCTATTTCACATTGAAATCATGCACTTCGTATCCCATCAGGGACTGCAATCCCCTGGGTGCAGCAGCACTTCTCCTACTTCCAGTCCTACTACTTTACTGCTTTCCCCAGTTTGGGGTTTTGCTGCACATTTACCTTGGATGGCTGACCACTCTGTAGTGGGCGGACCTCACTTGTGTTGTTATTCCCCCAGTCTATTGTTGTGAAGTGCTCCTCAGTCAGTTCCAACCCATAGTGACCCCATATAGGGTTTCTGAGGACTGGCTGATGAGTTTGAACCACTGACCTTGTGGTTCAGTCATTGTGGTCAAGTGCTATCCCACAGCAGCACACCAGGACTCCACCTATTATAGGGTTGAACATTCAGCCCCGGGGGTGAGTTGCTTCAGACAGAAGGGTAAGCAGAGGCTATAGTATCTGAGTTGTACCAGTCCCTATGTGATCAGTGGTTTTTTTTGTGATTTTGAATTTTGACTTTCTTCCATTCTACCCAGACTGATTCTAATGTGGTCCCTTTCAGAGCAGTAAGCTCCTTATTTGTTCCTCTGGCAGTGAGACTCTGCTCTCATTAGCCTTAGTTGTTCTTTAATCATTGTTAGTATAAAACTTTCTTCAATTATTACTAATTACTTCTAGAAAGTTAAGACTTTTGTTAATAAGTAAATTGACGTAAGAGTCACCTTGATGGCAATGGGTTCATTTTTTCAGTCTTAAGAAACTTATGTAGGATAAGCACTGGTCAGCAGTTCAAACTCATTAGCCGCTTCTCAGAAACCCTATACAGGGGTCACTTTGAGCTGGAACTGACTCAACAACTCACAGCCACCTCTCTTTAAGGATACTCAATGCTCCCAATTAGGAGGAGAAATTAGGTTTGGAAGAATTTGCTCAGCAGGGCAGTAGAGTGGCCAGGATACCTTACTCCAAGGTACTGGAAATCAAACAGGAAACACTCTCCTACCGTTACCTGAATCCATGAACCATTCATGTAGTCTTGGCCAGCGTATTGTCTTCATTAAATGTCCCAGGGTAAATAAAGGGACATAAAGCTTTTTAGATAATGTCTGAACAATCAGATCTTCAGTATACAGATGAGATTGACAGGAATAAAGATTGTTAGTGTTTGGATGAACATGTTTTTTCCCCCAGGTTGGAAACCTCTCTAGAGGTATATACATTGAAGCTTGAAAATAACTGAAATAAAAAAGGCGGCGCACTTCTCTGTGCCTAGGTTTTTCTTCTGTGAAACGGGTGATAGTTGTACTTACCTCCAAGTACTGTGAGGGCTACATGAGCTTCTTGTTGTTGTTAGGTGCCATGAATCTGCACCGACTCATATTGACCCTCTGTGCACAATAGAATGAAACACTGCCTGGTCCTGGGCCAAGCTCACAATCATTGCTGCACTTAAGCCCATTTCTGCTGCCACTGTACCAATCCATCTCATTGGGGATCTTTCTCTTTTTTTCTGACCCTCCACTTTACCAAACATAATATCCTTCTCCTGTGATTGTTCCCTCCTAATATATCCAAATTATGAGACACACAGTCTGGCCATCCTGGCTTCCAAGGGGTACTCTGGCTGTACTTCTTCCAACACAGATGTGTTTTGGCAGTCTGTGATACTTTCAATATTCTTCTCCAACATCATAACTCAAATGTATCAATTCTATGGTCTTCCTTATTCACTGTCCAACTTTCACATGCATATGAAGTTATTGAAAATACCATGGCTTGGGTCAGGTGAACCTTGTCTTCAACACACAAAAGAGGTCTTGTGCAGCTATTTGCCTTATGCTATATGTTGCTTGAATTGAATGCTGCTTCCATGAGTGCTGATGGTTGATCTGAGGGAAAGGAAGTCTTTTTGACAACTTCAATCTTTTCTCTCCATTTATATATAAGTGGTCCAGTGGTGAGGATTTTTGTTGTTGTTGTTTTTTTCATTGAGATGATACCCACACCCAAAGGCTGTGCTTAGATACATAAAATGGTTATAATAGTGCCTGACATGTAGTCTTGCATTTGCTTATCCTCACAATGTAAGAAAGGCAGAAAACACAAAGATTCAGGGTTAGTATTGCCAGATATTATAATCTAAAGTGAATCAAGGAAACTTGTGTGGCAACTTGGGTTACAATGATTCTTGTGTTTCAAAGATTATAGACATCTACTATAGTCTCCCAGAGGTGGCGTTGGGGTCCCTCAAAGTACTGGCTGGGCTGGATGAGTCACTGGTCAGAATAGAAACAGAAACAACTAGCTTGGCTTTCTTTCATTAAACTAGAAATTGAGAAGTTATCTGTTAGTTTCTAACTAAGCGTTTGGTTTCTGGATAATAATACAATATGATTTTTTAAAAATGTGATTGTTAATAGTTGCTTTTCAAAGTATATTCATAATGGAACATTTTCAAGATGGAAAACGCTCCATACACTAGAATACCTAGGTTCACATGCTACCTTTGTCAATTTCCCCAAGCTGTAAAATAAAACTCTATGGTTCTTACTACTCTGATTTTTTAATCTACTTTTTGCTTTGCAATAATTACTAGTAACTCTCCTAAAACAATATTGCCATTTTCTAGGACAAAGAACATAGGTGGTAAGAGTTAAAACACACAGCCAAGCCTAAGATACATAAGGTCAAGTGCACAAGCAGTTTTCTAAGATGAAACAGCAGAGTGGCAGAGCTGACTTTTTTTTAAAGATTAATATGCCTCTCGGAAGTGTATGCCATTGAGTCAGGTTCCACTCATGGTAACCCTGTATAGGATTTCCAAGGAGCGAATGTTGAGTTTGAACCGCCAACCTCTGGTCAGCAGTCCAGTGCTTATCCTACAGCACCATACCAGTGGTTTACACCCATGTAATTAAAAAATGTTCCTTTTCTTTAGTTATTTCAGCTCTTATCCTGCTTTTCCCATTTTCTGCAGTCAGCTGCCTGACACACGTTACTCCTTTCTCCTCACTTCTGTTGGTTCTCTTCAGCTCCATTCTGACTCTGTTTCACTCTACTCAATAATAACTTGAATAATTTCACAGCCTAAGCCAGTGAAGTAAGAAAGCAAGCTTGCCAGTTTTGTATCACCAATTTTGATTCTATTTGTAGACAAGAGTATAAAAACTGATGGATTGATTTATTTGGGGATTCAGCAGAATACACCAATGAAAAACCTGGTTTTCATTTTTATCTTAGAATTGCGGCGAACAATAAGAAGCAGTGTATGGAAACGGGAGACAGCTGCACATCACCATGAGTATGGACCAGAAGAAAACCTAGAAGATGACATGTACCGAAAGATTTGTACTCTGTGCGGCCATGAATTGACTTATGAGAAAATGTGATCTTTCAGTGATGCTTACGGAATTTTATTTTTAAATAAAGAAAATTGATCATAGGGAGTGCGAACTCAGTAATTTCAAATTCTATGAAAAACTCACTTAGATGCAGACATCTCCATATTTGAATAAAATACCACATAGATAACTGCTTCAGTAGGTTAAGTACAAGGGGGTTTCCAAAAGTTCATGGAAAATATCCATCTTTATACAAACATTCTGAAGCCCCTTCATATGTGTGTTACGGCCTAAGAACAAATTTCAGTTAAGGCCCAGAGGACCTGGTGGTAGGCAGAATGGTGGGCCTGTGACTGCTGTTTCTATAACTGGTAGAGAGCTGAGAGGTAAAACTAAGTTTCAAAGTGGTAACTTAGATATAAATTGAGGGAAGGAGAGACCAACACACACTCTAGACTTTAGGGTAGAAAGAAGAGCCTTAAATAAATGCAAAAGCTGGCTGACCTGGACATCTATTCCCAAGAAATAAACAGTACAGTGGTATTACCCCAGCACTTCAGGGGTGGGCCAGGTCTGCCCGGGGATTTCTATTCTCAGTTCTATGGAGGAAGTGGATTGCCATCTACTGCTGGGAGAAGTCAAGACAAATGGCCAGAACAAAAAATGAGTTTGGACATGTTTTAAGACCTTAATGTCTTTGTAGCCCTTTTCAAATGCTGGATTAAAATGTAAAAACAAAACAAAAAACCCAGCTATCTTTGAGGTTGAATATCTGATTGTTGACCAAAAAGTCCTAATTACTAACATTTACTGCATGCCAAGTAAGCACTAACTATGTTAAGTGCCTCACAGGTATTAGGCAGCCCAGAGAGAAAACTTTGTGCTTGCTTTAGCCTTTTAAGAAAAGGAAGTGGCATCACCTCAAACAAACAAACCCACTGTCAGGGAGCTGACTGACTCCTAGCGACCTTACAGAGTTTCTGAGACTATAAATCTTCATGGGCGCAGACAGCCTCCTTTCTCCTGTGGAGTGGCTGCTGGATTTGAACCATGAAGCCTGTGGTTTAGCAGCCTAATGCCCAACCCACAGTGCCACCAGGGTTCATTGGATCAAGTTTAGGTGATCAAAATTTCCCATATCTTGTAAAACAATTATAGCTAGTAATAGGATTTGGTCCAATGTGCTTGAATCTAGGGCCTATGTTTTTGCTTTGGGATAAAAAAATCAAATTAAGATAAATTGGGTATTTTCAAGTTGTTCTTTAACATGGCTCTTTATCCTATGGCTACAAGTAGAAGAAATAGGACATTTATACATTTTTTCTGTTTTGTTTTTCACCCAGCTTCTGAAGATATTTTTAGAGAAAGGCAAGTATCAAAATAAGTGAAACCAAAACAGTAAGACTAGTAGTAAGTACTCAGTGCAGAAATGTTTAGTAAGTGTTTCAAGTGTTGGTTTTTAACAGGGAGTGAAAATTCCCTGGGACAAAAAACAAAACAACTTCCAAGCTTGATGACATTGTCATCAATGACAAGAGTAACTAGGGTTTGGGCGGCTGACAACAGCATTATTGCATCGTAGAAGGGAGGGACTCCTGAGGCACAAGGACGTATGTTCAAATTCCACTTACTACCCTTTCCTTGACCTTGACTAGCTGTAACTTGACTTTGGGTAAATTATTCTAAAAATCAAAACCCACTGCCACTGAGTTGATTCTGACTCATAGTGACTCTGTAGTAGGGTTCCCAAAGTTGTAAAGTCTCATCTTTCTCCCCTGGAGTGTCTGGTGGGTTTGCAGGGCTGACTTTGCGCTTAGCAGCCTGAATTGTTGTTAACCTCCGTGGAGTCGGTTCCAACTCACAGGGAGCCTGCATAGGAGCAGAAAGCCTCATCTTTCTCCCGTGGAACAGCTGGTAGTTTCTAACTGCTGACCTTGAGGTTAGCAGCCTGATTCATAAGCACTACGCTACCAGAGCTCCTTAGCAGCCTAAATGCTGATCCTATAATGGACTCCTGGTGTGGCACTCCGGGATTAGCACTAGAGTGCTAACCACAACGTCAGTAGTTCAAACCCCACCAGCTACTCCTCGGAAACCCTATGCAGGGTTGCTATGAGTTGTAATTGACTTGATGGCACTTAACAACAACATAATGCCATCAGGGCTCATAAGGTACTCTGGGGGCCTGTTTTTGTCTGTAAAGTGGGCAGGACTGTGAGAATTACATATGGTGAATTTGTAGCACCTGGCATATAACCACCACCATCACTGAGCACACATTAACATCAAGATCAATATACAGACAGTTTTGTCTTGTTGAGGTATGTTTCTACTCCTGTTTTACTGTTATCAATTTTGACATTCAGATAATCACTGACAATCCAATCTGCTTTATCCTGGTTCACAAGGTCTTTCATTTTCAGATATAATTATAGATTAATTAGTAATTGATACAAGGACTCCTGTAGGATCAGCACCAGACTGTGAACCACAAGATCAGCAGTTCTAACCCACCGGCTGCTCCTCAGAAACCCTGTACGGGGTCGTTATGAGTCAGAACCGACAAGGGCACTTAATCACTGCTAAATTCTTTCCAAGGGAGAAAACAACAAAACATCCAAACTTGGTTTCATTTGAACTACTGCCACGAATAATTTCTAGAGGGGAGATCTGGAATCAAGGAAAATTGAGAATATGTTCACTTTATTAAATGACATTACTGATTTATTGCAAAGTATGGCATGTAGTGACTTGCCATCCTGTTTGTGTGAGTTTTATTACTGGGAAAAATAGCTGTTGAATGCTTCCTTGTGCACTTTATCTCTTCAAAATTCGATTGCGATTTCATTTTTTCCATGGGTATAGATTCAGATTGGGACAGAGCAGTTATTATACACAAAGAGAGGATCCAAAACAAAAGGAAATGAGAACCTATAAACCCACTAGAATTTGGGCCAAATATAATCTAGCCAAACTTTGCAACCTGGTTACTGGAAGACAGTGGCCATTTTTAACCATATACTTTGCGCTGTGCTTAACCAATAGCAAGGAGTGACATATAAACAAAACAGCCAAGAACCTAAGTTTTAGTCCCCTTTCTGCTAATAACCTACCATGCAACTTTGATCTTACGACTAATCATTTTTTGTCTTAGATGATATGGTCTGAATCTATGTGCAACAGTAATTTCTTTTAGAAAGATAAGCACAAGGTTGGTCCCTATGAGGTGGAAGTTAAAGACATCCCAAATGTCCAACTTTCTTGAAGTACTGTTTTTATTGAGTTGCTTCTGACTCATTGCGACCTTGTATAACGTTTCCAAGGCTTTTAAAATGTTAAATCTTGTGGGAGCAGAAAGCTTCCTCTTTCTCCCAAGGAGCAGCTGATGGGCTCGAACCGCAGACTTTGTGGTTCGCTGTCCAGTGCTTTTTGCATGGAGCCTCTGTGCTCCCATAATTCCTGGTATCAATCACTAGTCCTCCCTTCCACATTCTCTCCAATATCCCAGGGTTCTGCAGTCCACTGCAACGTCTCACAGAACTTACAGACTGTCAAGAAAAGGGCTTATCACAGTTGTGGAGACGGGCAAGTTCTAAATCTGCAGCCAGTCTGAAGGATTCGCTGCACTCACACAGAACCGGGCAGTTGACTCACGAGGCGAGGAAGCTGGCAAGGCAGGCCAGGCTGCTGGCTCAAGTCCCAGGAACTGAAGGTCAGGTGATTAATCGGCTCCCTCACATCACTAAGGTGACTTGACTTTATATGCTGCTAGAGTTTCAGGTTGTTACGATCATTAACTCTTAATATCCACAGCTTAATCATATCATCCTATCAACATCTTCTCCCACCTTCTCTCACCCAAACCTAGCAGGAAGAGTCATTTGGTGGGAGTTACAAAGACTTAGGCTAGAAGAGACATACTAAACAGTTCACTACAACACAGTTCGCTATTTAAAAATCGCTGGAATTCCCATCTGTTGAGTGGATACTTCAAAAAGGTCAAGGAAAAATTTCATTATCCTCCAATTCCATTTTTCCACGAACTTTCTAAAGTCCCCTCATATTTTGGAGTCAATCAACTATATGATAATCCAAAAGGATCATATATGAAAAATGCTTGCTGCATCATAAATTTATGATAGATTAAGTAAAAGAGATCAATGTTGAAAGCTCACAAAAATACTACCAGTAGGTGTGTGATTACTGGTAAAGTTTCTCCAAAGCTTAATGAAAGAAGTCTAAAAATCCTAGGAATTTAGAATAGGCTATATAAATTATTTTACAAAACACTCATATTTATTATCTTACTTAAGGTTGGAGCAGATTTCATAGAAAAAAAATTCAAACCCACATTAAATTCCAAGTATATTTTAGCTAGTTCCACCTCAACCTGTAACTCACAACCCGCTCTTCAGAGGCTTGGGGAAAAGACTGGATGCTCCAGGAACGAGATGCTCACACTTGTCTGCACACTGGAATCACCTGGGGAGTGTTAAGAAATACTGATTATCTGTGGTCCACTCCAAGGAGCCTGATAGCACAGTGGATTGCAAGTTGGGCTATTAACTGCAAGGTCAGCAGTTCAAGTCTTCCATCTGTTCCACATGAGAGAGATGGGGCTTTCTGCACCCATAAAGATTTACTACCTTAGAAACCCTATACAGGGTTGCTATGAGTCAGAGCTGACTTGAGACACTACCACTGTGTCCTACTCACAGAGATCGTATTTAATTTTATAAATAATTGTTGTGAGATTCCCAGGCTATTCTAATACTTAGAAACAGACAAATGTGGGAACCACTGTTAAGTAGTAACAATTTTATAAGCTAACATATCATAAAATACACTTTTAACCAACTGTAGACACTTAAAAACAAATATTTTGAAGAGAAAATTTCAAGCGGAGGTAAGTACATCTGTAGTAAAGAAATCACCAATTTAAAAGTAGACTTGAAATCATGAAACACTAAAGTTTAAAAAATATTTTTAGTTTTATTCAGCCATGTTAGTTATCCATGAGCTGTGAAAAGATACGCTACTTGGTAATAAATCCACCAGTTCTATATACTACTTTGTAAACTTGAGTTCTAGTGTCTCACATACCTCAAACCAACCAGTTACTGTTTTTATGCCTCAAGAGAGAAATCACCATACTAATCACAGAAAAGTTGTGTGTGTCACATATAAGACATCCCATGGTCAGAGTCACATTACTGTTACTAGGAAATCATTTGCTTCTTAAAAGAGGGCAATTAAAAGTAATCACAATCAAGTTCATGTACCTCACAGTCCTCCTCCCCAGTTTCCTTTAATAACTGAAAGAATACTATAAGAATGCAAGCATTCAAACCATCAAAAATAAGACAAATTATTTTAAGATATTAAAAAAAATCTTGACATGAGGGGAAAATGACCGTTAGGCCTGCAGGGCACAGAACTGCTGGAACACAGCCAGGATGTGCGGATCTAATTCAGCAGTGAAGAGGAGGTTCTCCAGGGTTACCATGTACTGCTGGATTATTTGGTGATGCTGTGGACACAGAAAAGACTTGTTTAGGTGAGGAGAAAGAGCACAGACTCAATCTTGTAGAACACTGCTCTCAGTAGGAAGGGGGAAAGAAAGGTTCTTGCTGAAAAACTTTGGTATTAAGGAAATGTAGAGACTAAGGAAAAAAGATGTTCAAAACCTGCTCAAAACATCTAGTTGTGATTATGTAAACGAAATTCATGGTGTAGCTCCAGTGCTGCTACTCTTACAGACCAGGCCAAGACAACTGGATAGAGCACATCATGATTTCTTTAGAGCAGTTCGACAGCAGAAACATCAACCCAGGAAGAGGAAAAACCAAAGGGGGTATGTGACCAGGCTAAAACCCTGGTCTGTGAAATGTTAAGAGAGAAAGTGGTTCCAAACCATCTCCTTTCCCCATTTTTTGGATATAGCTTTAAAATGTCTCTTTGTAAAAAAAAAAAATGAACTGGCTAATTATCTTTTATATATTTCACAGAACAGAAACCCAAACCTTGTTTTGTTTTTTAATAAACAGCTCATCTCTCACTGAAAATCTGTGATTTACCTTGTGGAGCCTAACTGGTAAAGAAGAATGTCAAAAATTAAAGAATCTAGAGAGAACTCCATTTAGAGGCTTAAAGAATCTAATGGCTTCCCCCCGCCCCTTCTTTAATGTTTCTCATTTAATCACTTTTTTTCGAAAAAATAAAGAGTTTCGGGGTTAGTGTTTGAAGATATAAAAGCATTAGTCCCACTCTTGCATATCTTTAACTTAAATCTAACAGAGATAGGACCTACATTTTGTTTTGACATAAAGCCCTTAGGGAACTTACCAGCTTCTGTGGTTACTGTTAATTATTTGAAAATTAGATTTTAAGGGCCTTTCCATGTCACTATCCCCTTAACTTTTTTTAACCCTTGCATATTATATTACAGATAGATCCTCAGCATAGGAATGGAAATTAGGAATCTCAGTGATCTAGAACAATTCAATCCTAAACATTCTGATGAACAACAGTAGCAAAGGTGGGTATAAACTAAAAGGGACTACAGACAGTACAAAAAGTCAGACAAACTTGACAGTAGTATTTAATGGAAAACCTCTAGCTGAGGAGAGCAGTGTTCCTTCCACACACCTGTAGGAAGATCTGTTGGAGCCTCTCTATACAGTTCTTATACCATGACGTCAGAACATTGGTCCCATCAGTTTCACACCGCACTAAGTGCTCGGTCAAGATCATAATAAAACGCTACAAGGGGAAACAAAGTTACAGAAAACTTGAATTCTTCAGAAGCATATACATTCATGACACAGAGAGAACATGGTATTGTTTGCTCCACCTGTCTTTGTGAGTTGTATCCGAACTTTTACAATTCATTAAACGCTGTCAATCTAGAAAGGTAGGTTGGTGATAATGTGAGTTGGGACATCCTTTCTGGGAATATTAAAAAATGCTCAATGTCTACATTCATTATCCTAGTAATTTTACTTCTTGGCAATTATTCCAAGTAAGTAATTAAAAATGTGACTAGAAATCTATGCACAAAGATGTTCATTAGCTAGGGAAGACTCATCTAAATACTAACAGGGATAAGTATGAGATAAATCTAAGACACAGAATGTTCATGTGAGAATGTCAAACACAGAACTCAAAAGTACACATGCTCACTGCTAAGTGGTGAACTTCTAGGTGGCTGTAATTTCCTCTGTATGTTAAAACTCTTGTATCAATGAATCTGAATTGCTTTCATTAATAAAAATAACATTTTTTGAAACAAAAAACTGTTTCTTTCCTCTTACAGGTTAATTCTGAAGCCACTTTACCTGAAATATGACAAGGAAGAGATTCTTCTGCTCGCTCTGAGCAGATTCCACTTTCTCCTGCAGTCTTTCTATTTGCTCCTCTAGAGCCCCGTCTTTCCTGTCACTGCTTCTGTCATCATCATCACTTCGCTAAAGAACACAAAAACAAAAGGGAAACATCCTGTGTAAGTCCTGTCACGTAAGGAAATTATTTTATGATTTCAGGTTAAATGCTATTTAGGTTTGTATTCTATAGTGAAAATCCTTTTTTCCCAGCCTACACCTCAAAGCCCTGTTGTGGGTGCAGATACACATTCTTACTACTCCAAAGTTCGATTGCTCTGGGGCAAGAGTATTTATTGGAGTCCTTGGGTGGCACAAGGGGTTAAGCACTCAACTGCTTAGCTGAAAAGGTTTGAACCCACCTGTCAGAAGACAGGCCTGATGATCTGCTTCCAAAAGCTCAGCCTTGAAAACTCTACAGAGCAGCTCTCCTTTAATACACATGGGTCATCCAGAATGAGAATTAACTAATAATGAGAGGATTTATCTAGGCCAGGGACAGACATCTAGTGGAACCCGTCTAACAATGAGAGGATTTATCTAGGCCAGGGACAGACATCTAGTGGAACCCGTCTAACAATGAGAGGATTTATCTAGGCCAGGGACAGACATCTAGTGGAACCCGTCTTAGAAAACAGTGGGGAGAGAGTTTGCTATCAAGAAGTAGGAGTAAGCTACCCTTTTTGCAAAATAGCCCTTTCAGGGAGGGAAAAAAAAAAGTGTCATATTTTCCTTCTATTTAAAATGAAAATCGCTTTGAGCCCTATGAAAAACTGTATGTTCTTACATTTAAAAAAAAAAATTTTGTTGTTGAAATATATACAGCAAAACACACCAATTCGACAGCTTGTGCATGAACTATTTAGTGACACTGATTATGTGTTATGAGTTGTGCACTATTCGTACCCTCCTGTCCAAGTCAGTTCTTCCCCATTAATATATGTTAAGTTTGAGTTCTTCTGAGTTGCTGTGTTACTTTGATCCCAGATAATCTTAAAAGAGTATAATGCTCAAGACAGACACTTCAATTACTCACACATTACATATCCTCTGCCTGACTCTCATTCTTCCTCTGGAAAAACTTTTTAACTCTGCCATTCATTATTCAACAAAGTAAATGATTCATGATAAAACTGATTGTGATTTTCATGTATTAAAATATCACTAAATAACCATATGAGAGCACAGTGGCTCTGTAGGATAAGCGCTGGACTGCTGACCATTAGGTCATCTGCTCAAGCCCTGCAGTCGCTCTTCTGCTCCCATTTACAGCCTCAGAAACCTTATACAGGGTCACGATGATTTAAAACCAACAAGATAGCACTTCAGAACAAAACAAAGTTGACCATATGAGCAGTAACAAGGAGGTGGCCTTCGCAGAGAATGGGTCATATGGCATACCTGGGCAGGCCCTGATGTGGCTCTGGAATCACATCCGCATCATTCAGAAATGCCTACGACTGGTTTATAAAAATTCAAAGCAGACTTTTCAAGACACTTTGTTGTTACAGATGAACTCAGCACACCTCAGCAAGAACTTGAAGTTTCCTCCACACCTAACACCAAGGAGTTTACAGCAATAACCAAGGCTTTTATTGTTTTTGTTTTTGTTTTTTAAAAGAAAAGCAAAATGTGCATCAATTAACCTTTACAAATGGGAAAGGAAGTATCTCCATTTTACGCAATAGGAATACATAGGTCAGACAATTTTTCCCATGTCATTCAACCAGAAATGGGCAGGGCCAGAACCCTACACTAACCATGCTGCTTACCAAGGTCCTTTTGGCAAGAAATGGTCATCGCCGAGCCTAGAAAGCATGGCAATCCTCCTAGGCAATATTCTACTGGTGAAGCCTCAGCTATGATGGCTTAGTCCACTCCTTAAGCCAAATCCAAGACCCTCCCCCAATTCAGCTTCCATAGAACCTGCTTTTATCTTGCGTACAACACCTGCTAAGGGGGCTGCCTTATGTTCTAGGAAAGTGAACACAAGCTTGTCTTCTCCTTGCACCCACAAGAATACAATTCTAGAATAGCAATGTCTAAGACAGCTTTCTGTGATAAAGGAAATGCTGTGTAAATCTGTACTATCCATTCCAGCAACTACTAACCACATATGGCTACTGGGCATGCAGGTGACTCATGTCACTTGTGTTTAATTTTATTTAACTTAAATTGTCACATGTGGCTAGTGACTACTATACTTGACAACTGGGTTCTTAAGAGAACAGTGTGGCACAAAGGAAAAGCCTTTGGGAGCTGACAGACCTGGGTCACAGTCTAGCTCTGTCATTACTTAATTGCTCCAAGTCCCAGTTTATCCATCGATAAAATAGGAATGTCATTTACCCTGCCGTGTTTCAGGTTTGTGACTGTGTGTTTACAAACCTACACATATATGTACTATATACATACATACATACATTGAGTGCTGTTGAGTCAGTTCCGACTCATAGCGACCCTGTTTAGTTTCCAAGGAACGGATAGTGGATTTGAACTGTCAACTTTGCTATTCAAACTGACCTTTGGATTCAATTCATTATCCTGTAGCGCCACACCAGGACTCCATACATACATATATATATATACTTGTGTAAATGTATGTCTATATGGACTCAGGCCCTTGAACTTGGCATTGTTGTTGTTAAGTCCTGTCGAGCAGGTTCCGACACATAGGGACCCTGTCTAGGGTTTCCAAGGAACAGTTGGTGGATTTCAACTGCCGACCTTGTGGTTCACAGTCCAGTGCCACCCCAGAAGGTTCACAGAAATCACTGGGCTTACTTTTATCCCACCCCTCTTACCTTCTACCCTGGTAACTACTGTGTAAATAACACTGGGAAATAGTGCCACAAAGAACAGTAGTTACATTGTGCTGAATTACACTTTAGTCAGCTCACTGTTTCCTTAAAAAAAAAAAAAAAGGCTAGAAGACAAAACCTGTCACTAATATGAAAAGTATTTTGTAAACTTGGGAAGACTGCTCCATCACACCTCACAGTACTTAGCACTTTCTCCCTTTGCCCCTCTTGCACCAGAAACTCTTCAAAAAACCCAAGTGTCCTCTTTCCTTGTCCTTGCCTTCCAGTAGGGCAAACATGAGGCTGAGCTAGAGGTGTGAACTATGGAAAAATAACTTATATCTTACTAAACTAGTTTACCACAAGTAATATAATAGTGTACAGCAATTGACCAATGATTTCTTCTTCCAACAGTTCTGCATAATTAGGGCTCAGGAAAAATCAACTGCCATCAAGGTAATGAATTTTCACTATTCTTAAGAGTTTCTGGTATTCTTTAACAGTAACAGTCAAAGTAAGACTTACCCGTTTGTGCTGCCTTGCAAGTTTTTCTTTAGCTTCTTCTAGCTCTTTCTGGATCTTCAGAACATGTTTGCTCATTTTACGAATTGTGGAGTGCAAGATTTCCCAAACAAACAATCTTAAAAGTAATATGGCATTTGATTACTGCATGTTAACATTATCTGTGCTTATAGATAATTACATCGTAACTTTTAAAGCCTATTCGTTCTTAAGGTCTAAATTAGCCTTCCACCGTTTGGAAAGAATTAATGTATCTTCCAGCAATACTTACGATTTGCCTTGTCAACTGTGCAAGCATCTTTCTTTACCCATTAGACTCATGTGAGCTCTCTGAGGGCATTACTATGGCCCTTTTATTTTTCTTATTACTTCCAATCTCTAGTAGAAGCTGTATGTACATATTTATGAAATAGCAAACCATACATAATCACTAACATTAGGAATAAAAACACATTTTCTCTATTTGAAATGTAAACACTGTCTGAGTGGGAACAACTAACCAGATCATTTCACCTGCTTTGTAGAATATAACTACACACACACAGCCAATTCTCTTGGAACATTTAAGGAAGCCACTAGTTGAGTTACCAACTGCTGGGCATTAAGAATGAAATACTTAACTCACCTATTGCTCAAGTGCCAAGGGCACCTTTCATGTACTTAAAAATGCTTGCTGCGTGGATATTTTACTTAAAAGTAGCTTTATAACTACTACTTTTATAATGGCAAACCAGGTCTCCTAAATGCAGGATACAGCAGAGAGCTTCCTTTCATAAATTTTGGCATCAACTGACATAATTTTAGATGGAAAATGAGACAATCTGCTTTAAAAAACCTTCAAAGTCTAGAAGGCTATCAGACAGAACAAAACAAGAACACTTGAACTCTGGCAGGGGGGTCACGGAAAGCTCTATAGCTGGTAATATCTTGAGCTAAATGTTAAAGAATGGAGAGTTCTCGAGCATTGCATCCACTCAAGAATGCCCGGGGTTGCATCCTACTCCTGTCATTTAGTTGTGTGATTCTTATTAAGCTAATTAAGTACTCAGACATTTTGTTATTTTGTTCCACTGGGGCTATGGTGGAACTTACCCACAAGGATTACTGTTCATCATTCAGAATAATGGCTAACAACACACACTTTGGTGATCAGTTTTTTGATTTCTGAGTCTGCAAAGATCTGAGAATACCTTTTTGCTGCTTTCATTTGTGAATGCCAACTTGGCCAGACATACTGCTTTACCCTAAGGTGATCTTTCAGACCAGTGTCCTCTGGCAGTAACAGATGCAGTAGAGAATTCAGAAGTTGTTGATGGTTTCTTGTCTTTGCAAGACATTTGCTTTTTTGTTTCCTGTTTGATATCCACTCCTGGTGTCCCAGTCCTGATAATAAATCTTGTGGATGCAACTTCACCAACTCAACTTCAACTTTGTCACTCAGACGCCCACAATTGCCGTCTCACAGAGATCCTGCACAGGGCTTTCAGGGTGGTAAATCTTTTTGGGAGAAGAAAGCCTCATCTGTCTCCTGCGAGTGGCTGGGCTGGTGAGTTTGAATTGTCAGCTTCTTAGTTAGCAGTGCAGTGCTTCATTCCACAGAGCCGCCAGGGCTCCTTTCTGTTTCCATAAAGCTGCATTAAATCTAGGATTTTTGTGATTGAGGTGAGGTCCACCAAGCTTTGATTACAACTTTAGTTTCACTCCTAGTTCCTGGCATGCATTCCAGTTCCCACGGGAATTGGAATCCTTCCATGAATCTCTACTTAGGATGGCTGAGGCTGACATTCAGCCTGGCTCTTGCTGGAATTAATGGTACAGTCTGGTAAGATTAGACTCTCTCAACAGTCTGCATTCTTCATCAGAATTTCTACTTGACTGTGTGGGTCCTAATACAAATTCTGTATGCGTCCCTGAGCAACAACACAGCCTGACTAGCAGTGTCTGTCTCCACTGTATAGGAACCTACCAGACTAGACCATAAGCACCAGAATCTGGAGCTCGTGTACAGCAGACTACATATGAAGTACTTCCTAGAACGCACATTACCTAGTGAATTCCTAGAACGTACATTACCTAGTGAAGTCACGAGAAAGTTCGGGAGAGAAGATCCAGTTTGCTACTGCAGCACAGTCAACAATCTGTGTCCGAATCATCTTATCCACGAGTACAGAAATCATCTACAAGGACAAACACTTTAGAGTAAATCACACTTATATGTAGATAAAACTACTGCTATAAAAGTAAAATATGTGGACTATAAAATTACTTTCAGTGGCTACAGGATCAATTTGATTTTTAGGGCTAAGGATTATTCTTCCATATGCCTGCCTTTGGAGTCCTTTAGCACTGTGGCTTAATGCGCCAGACTGCAAAGCCGTTTGAACTGCAAGGCTAGTGGTTCAAGCTCACCAGCTGCTTCTCGGAAACCCTACACGGGGTCACTATGGGTTAGAACCGATTCGACAGCACTGAACAAAACAACACCATGCCTGCCTTTGGTAATGTAAGAGACACTATAGTACCACCAAAGACTGAGCAAAACGAAAAACTCTAAATGGCAGCACTTAAATATTTAATTGTTGAATTTAATATCTATATTAAAAATACATGTGATTTCCACTGAATCCCAATAATTAAAAATACAAGAACATGTTTACCATAAAATAGCCTTAAATGTACTCTAAATACTATTTCAATGTCTCTTTATAATAGGAAAAGAATATATTATATATCCAGATTTGAGACCTCTGAAGCGTGTTTGTAGAAACAGATGAGACTACATAGCCATTTCCTACCCAACTAGTAGGATCTGACAAACAATAAGCATTCTAACTAAACGTTACTGTGTTGGAGTAGTGTCCGAAATAACATCACAGCACTAAAGAAATTTTAACTGAAAAACCATTTTATAGGTACAGTCAAATTTTATGTTTTACAAGTACAACAAAGGTAACTAGCTGGCTTTTTTTATTAGTTATATAGTAATTGTTTTTACCTGTGGATGGTTTCGCCAGACCTGAAACATAACACTTAGGACATGTAACTTTCCCTCATCGCCGTCAGCTAGGGTTTTGAAGACTTCATGAAACCTTTTGATAAAGGGGAGAAAAGTAACATATATATACTAATTTAATGAGTATTTTAATGTTTTCAAAGCCTTTTACAATCAAAATGCAAAATAAAATATTAATAATAATGTAAAAGGCATGATTAGGAATTCAGTTTTTATGGAACCTGTCACAAAATCATACAGATTTACAATACTAGCCATTGAGCCCTGGTGGTGCAGTGGTTAAGTGCCTGAGTGTTGCCAGAGACTAGTGGTTCAAACCCACCAGCCACTCTGTGGGAAAAAGACGCAGCAGTGTTTTCCGTAAAGATTACAGCCTTTATTTACATATCCCACAAATACATGAATTTGAAAGAGGATAATGGCTTTGGTAATGTAAGAGATACATGGTTATTTACCTCTCCTGCAAACACAACTGTGGAGGAGCATACAATGGGTAAAATGATAAAAACTTCTTTGATATTATCAAATATCTTAAGGCAATGAATTCCTGGACCAGTGGGCTCAAGACTATAAGCTCAGGAGACAAATGTTAATTAGCCTAACATAGTCCACAAAGACAATGTTCAACATCTTACTTTACTGAGTAGTGTCTGGAATCTTAAAAGCTCATGAGTGGCCATCAAAGATGCAGCTATTGATCTCTTCATGTGCAAAAAAAAAAAAAATAAAAGTCATGAGAACTGAAAAGGATTGGAATCAATTACTCCAGCAGATGAATGGAATATGTGAACATAAAAAGCCACGACTTTGAGACCCGGCTATCACTACAACCGCTCTCAAAGGGATCATATTAGATAGAAGGTACTAGAGAGAACAGCAGATTATGTGAAACACAACTCAAAATTAAAGACTGGTCAGAAAGAAATGGAAGGAACCTAAGATTATGGCCCTTCAGGTCTGGAAAGAAACTCACCCTCATGGTCCAACTTTCAGTCAAGCAGTGGACAGGGATATAGAGGGGACAACAACACTAGTAACGTATGCTCAGTAACAATGATGGACAGTCAATCATTCAAAATCAAAAAGGCAACAGTTTCCTAAGGATACAGTTGAAAAGGGATGGGAAGGTGGGTGGAATGGAAATAGAATCACAGGGAGGAAGCAGGATAGCTGATGTTGCATGGAGGGGACTGTTACCATTGAGATGAAACAAAGTGATTTATTGAATATGAAACTGATGAGCTTGTCTGTAAACCTTCACTCAATTCACAATAAAAGGTTAACAAAAAAACCCCAAATGACAGTCTTGAAATTCCTATGGGATTCTCTACTCTGTCCTATAAGGTATACATGAATGGGATGCAACTTGATGGCAATGGGAACTGTTAGCCTAGCACTCAAGTTTGACTCAGGAAGCATTCCCAGACACAGATGGTGCACCCTGACTGTACTTGTGTGGGATCCCAGATGCCCTGGAAGTACAGAGGGAGGAGATGGGGGTCTCTGCTTGCCTGAGAAAATATACGCTGAAAAGTCTGTCTGACAAGTTAAGGAGCTTTGGCTTTAGATGATAACCTCTGGACAGCTCCCAAAATTCTTACTTCCCTTCAGGAAGACGCTTGGGTGGGGCATGAGCTTCTGACTATATCTATGACTATTCTAGTACCTAAGTGTTTCACTAGTTTCTCTAAAGGTTTGGGGGGTGAGGGGGACACATTTCATGCATACAAGCAGGGACACAGGTGACTAGACACAAATGCATCATTATGTCAATACTATCATGATCCGAATGCAATAATTTTAGTAAAAGTTACTTCATCACTGGTATTTAGCAAGCAAAGTCCCAAACCTACAAGAAAATTGTGCTCTCGTGGTACTTACTTTGCAAGAGCACTGAAAGAGTGGCTGAACGATTTGGCTGCCAAGTGCAGCAGAGTCTGTACAAAGACTTCTATTTTCAATGGATTAAAACTGAATCCTTCATCTGAAAAATAACCCACAGTTAGAAAAATGTTGAGTGTAGCAAATGATTCCATAGTGCTTCCTTCGGTACGCTACGATCAGATAGCCTGCTCACATTCGAATATTCCAAATACTAAGACAAGCACTTGTCTAACTTCTGGAAGTAGTAAGGAGTCCTAGTGTGGTGCTGTAGGATAGATAAGCACTCAACAGCAACACTGGTTTGAACCTCAAGGTCGCCAGTTCAGATTCACTAGCAGCTCCTCAGAAACCCTACACAAGGTTTCTATGACAGCACTTAACAACAACAACATTAAGGACTAAGAAACAATAAAGATCACCACTGATTTCAAATACGGATAATATGAAACTAAGCATAATCTTAATTTTCAGTTCTTTGTGACTGTTTTCCTAATTCTTCTATATGATCCATTCTTTAAAAAAAATACCACATAGATTTCCTGGCTCATATTCTTTCTATATGGTGGCAAATGTATTTTCTCTAATATAGTAATTCATGTTTCTTAGAGAATCTAAACTCCCAGTAATAAACACCCACACACGGTTATTGCTTTTTCAGTCCTTATTAACACACATGTACACATTTTTCCCACAAGTGGCTTCCCAGTTGTCCCAGTAGACTTGTCATCTGTTCCACTGATCCGTCTCTTGGGCCAGCACCACACTGCTTTAGTTACTGTGGTTGCTACTGTTGGGTGCCATCGGTTCAGTTCAGACTCATATTCAGTTACTGTAGTTTTCACAATATGCTTTAGTATGTGATAAGGAAAATAAGCACCTCTCTCATCACCTTTTTTCCTCACTTATTCATTGATTCAGATAAACTTAATTATTCTGTCAATCTGCCCACCCTGTCCAAAAGGAGAAAATAAAGAATTAAGATTTTGGTTCGAGTTACATGGTATATATATACTTAGTAAATGTTAATAATATACCAATTCTTCCATTTCAGGAGCTTCTTTATATTCAAAGCAAGGAATGTTTAAAAACTGTTGACTGACAACAGTACACTTTCCAACATATTTAGGATGTAGATTATATTCTTAATATTAGCTATGTAAGCTACTTCGCAGGAAGTCTCGTTCTTTACATACGGGAGGAAATCCCTTGGTTGGAGGAAAGGATTCGCTGACGAGGCATCCAATGTGATTTTACAAAGTTCATGTCACAACAGTTACGTCTATGCTTTTACTTGGCCTATACACATATTTCCACTTAAGACTTATCAAATTCCCTTACCGTCATCGTCATCCTGGTTAGGGTTTGGTACATCTTTCAGAATGTTGAAGATTTCATTATTGGTTGCCTTACTTTTAAAAGCAACAGATAAGCAGAGGGCAACAGAATGCCCAGGAAGAGAATCTAAACACAGAAGAGTGGGGGGAGACAGAGATCAGGTTTAAAGTTTATTCTTAGAAACAGTGAAATAACTGAAACACCCTCTACTTTACCAAGCATACTGCGATTCTCCAGGGTAATGTGTCCCGTGTGTGAGACCAAGTCCTGTCATACTACCTTTCTGTACTACATGCCATACAATGCCATACTAACTTCTTCCAAGATAGATTTATTAATTCTTCTAGAAGCCCATGGTATATGCAATATTCACTATCAACATCACAATTCAAATGTGTCAGTTGTTATTCAATCTTCCTTATTCATTGTCCACCTTTCACATGCGCATGGTGGTGGTGGTTAGGTGTTCTGACTCATAGCACCCTGCGTAGGGTTTCCGAGGCTGGAAATCTTTACAGGAGCAGAAAGCATCATCTTTCTCTTGTGGAACAGCTGGTAGTTTCAAACCTGCTGACCATGAGGCTAGCAGCCTGACTCGTAATTACTACGCTACCAGAGGTCTTACATGTACACAAGGCAACTGAAAATATGGCTTGGATCAGGCGCATCATAATCCTCAAAGTTGACATTAGATACGTAATATACTAATTTCTCAATTGTCAGAAGAGACTCAGAAACTTGCTCTCGTACAGAGTAGCTAAAGTGAATGGAAAAAATGATGAAGTAAAAGAGCTGAACAAAGATTTCAAAGGGTTACTTGAGTAAAGTATTGTAATAAAATGTGCATAGGTGTGGAGAAAAGCAAAAGAATAGAACACACTTAGTATTTCTTAGCTGAAAGAACTAAAGAAAAAAAAATCAAGCCTCAGTTGAAATACTGAAGGATTCTATGAGCAAATTACTGAACAACATAGCTAGCATCAAAAGAAGATGGAAAGAATACAGAATCTTCAACCACTTCAGAAGGTATCATTGACAAGGAATAAGTAAAGTTTCATGAAAGGCACTGGTATAAAATAGGTTGCAGAAACTGATGGACTACCAATTGAGATGTTTGAACAAATGGATGCATCCTGGAAGCGCTTACTAGTCTATGCTAAGAAATTTGGAAGACAGCTTCCTAGCCAAGTGACTGGAAGAGATTCCTATTTGTGTATGTTCCAAAGAAGATGACCCAAAAGAATGTGGAAATTATCAAACTATATCATTATTATCATACTCAGGCAAAATTTGGCTGAAAATAATTTTAAAATGTTTACAGTAGTACATTGATAGGAACCTGCCAGAATTGCAAGCTGGATTCGGCAGAGGACATGGAACAAGGATGTTGTTCACTGCTCATGTTGATGTTATATTAGAACTCCTTGTTGTTGTTGTTAAGTGCCATGGAATCGATTCCAATCCATAGTGACCCAGTAGAGGGTTTCCGAGGCTGTAAATCTTTATGGAAGCAGAAAACCTCATCTTTCTTCCATGGAGAAACTGGTAGTTTCAAACCGCTGACCTTAAAGTTCACAGCCCGATTTGTAACCACTACGCTACCAGAGCTTCTTAGCAGACCTCAAACTTAAGAAGTCTTTTTAAGTTCAAAAGCTAAGAATCAATGTACCTTTTATTTTTTCCAAGGTCTATTTACTCCGATTTCCCCCTGAGATTGAACAAAGTGGAGGGGGATTTGAAGAGATTTTTTTCTTTTCTTTTGTTGAATCTACATAAGCCAGATAACCACGTGATATGTACATGTTCACCATTAGTTAATGGCTTGTCTATACTGTAAGGCATTACCAGGGCAATCTGAAATCCACTTTTAATGTAAGATAAACAAAGAGGCAACAAATAAAAAGGCAGTACTGACATAGAAGATGAGCTAACTAGTACAAGACTCTTAAGGACAGTCACGAGGTAACTGCCATGTGCTTTCTCCTGAAAGTGGGAGAGAGAATAAGAAAAAGAGTTCACCACTGAGAATATTTATTTTAGCTAGGAAATCTGAATATCCACAGAGAGGAAAACAAAAGATGCTGACTTTCTAAAGGTTACAATGTGTACACAAGAGGGACATGTAGATTGGATCCTAAAGGGAGTGCACAAATTGGAGACAGAAGAAGTGTATGGAGAAATAAAAAAGGTGGGTTTGGATGAAGCTGAAATTCATTTAGCAAAATTAGAAATGATCAAAATTAAAACAACTGTTAGGAAGGCCTAGAATGCCAGACTAAGTTGTTCCTATGGAGGGAAAAATTAATCTCCAACAACTTTATGATATCACTGTTCTTTATGATTCTCTGAATGACTACAAGGTAAAATCCAAGGCTTGACACTTAATGTGGTGGTGGTGGTGGTTCACTGTCACTGAAGCGATTGCAACTCAGAGCTACCTGCTATAGGATTTCCAAGGTTGCTCATCTTTACCGGAGCAGAAAGCCTCATCTTTTTCCCAAAGGTAGATGTGAACTGCTCACCTTGCAGTTAGCAGCTCAGCTCGTAATCCACTATGCTACCAGGACTCCTTTGACACTTAAGTAGATGCCATCTAGTCAGCTATGACTCAGTGAGCCAATGCACAACAAAACACTACCCAGTCCTGAGCCATACTATCAAAATTGTTTGAGCCCATTGTTGTTGCCTCTGTGCTAATCCATCTTGTTGAGGGGTCTTCCTCCTTTTCAAAGACCCTCCACTTTTCCAAACACATTGCCTTTCCCTAGGGACTCATTCCTTTCCAACATGTGTCCCAAGTATGAGATGAAGATTCACCAGCCTCACTTCTAATCCTGATGCCACATTCTTCTTAAATTATAAGCCATCTTCTCATATTATTTGCTCAGCATACAGATTGAATAAATATGATAAAAGTATACAACCCTGGCACAAACCTTTCCAGATATACACCATTCAGTATTCCCTTGTTCTAATGACTGCCTCTTTGTCTATGTACAAGTTCCTCAAGAGCACAATTAGTGCTCTGAAATACTTATTCGTCTTAATGTAATGTACAGTTTATTATGATCCACAAAGTCAAAAGTCTTTGCATAGTCAATAAAGTAAACTCTTCCAGATATTATTTTTAGCCAAGATACATCTAGTGTTAGCAATGCTATCCCTAGTTCTACTTCCTCTTCTAAATCTCACTTCAATTTCTGGCAGCTCCCTGCTGATGTCCTTCCTCAATAGTTTTTTATTAATCTTCAGTAATATTTTACTTGTGTGTCGTATTAACGACATTTTTCAATGATTTCTGCATTCCGTTGGGTTATCTTTCTTTGGAATGGGCACAAATATGGATCTCTTCCAGTAGGTAGGACAGGCAGCTGTCTTCCAGTTATCTTGGCATAGATGACAGCGCCTCCAGCACTGCGTTTGTTGAAACATTTCAATTTGCATTCCATTAATTCCTGGAGCCTTGTTTTTTTGCCTTTAGTTCAGCTTAGATGGTTCTTGATCATATGCTAATACGCTACACCTCCTGAAATGGTTGACCATCAACATTCTTTTTGGTACAGCGACTGTATGTATTCCTTCCATCTTTTTTTTTTTTAAGGTTTTTATTGTGGATTGAGTGAAAGTTTACAGGGCAGATCATCAGTTTTACATTCAACAAGTCATACACCTTGTTTCATTACAATGATTATAATCCCCTCCATGTACCATCAGTTAACAGTATTTCTCTCTATCCACTTTAGCTTTTTAAAAAACAAAACAAAAACACTCAGATGTAATCATTTACATCTCCAAAGGACATATTCTACAAGTCTGCCTCCTGGCCAACAGCTTAGTCCCTCTCTTCCCATGAATCTGGAGTCCTCAGCCGCTCCCCCACTCCATGCCCCCATCTTTGCCTCCGTCTCTGGCATCGCTGCTTCTCTGGATAAGGTCCTGCATTCCGCTTGTGCTCTTCTCCTTTCATGATCCTAGGGTCCTGTTTCTGGTCTGTAAGATTAACCACTCCCCTGTTTTTGTCACAAAACTTCTACCTTTAAAATTTTGACAGTCGCAATTAGTTATAACAATTATTTACTATTGAATCATACGAATCTTATCCCCATCTCTTTTCACCAGACCCATCTAGACAAGATGAAATCTATTCAGTGGGGACTCTTTCTTCCCTCCCCGTACTCTTAAACTAAACTCCCTTTTGAAACTCTGTAAGCTAGTCACTTCGTGCCTTTATCACCCCCCTCATTTAGGAAGCCAATGTCTTAAGTTGCCGGTCCCTATCTACCCTGTATACAGAGGGGATAGCATTGATACTTGATGTGAAGACTCCTTCCTTTGCTGTTGGTATTTAGAGTAACTGCCACTCTGAGTATAGGTCAGGTTCATCAAAGTGAAGCAATTTACCCTTGTTTCCTTTACCAAAAAAAATAATTTTTTTTCTTTTGTAATCGTCCTCTAGTTGAGTTCTGATTATTGAGCCATCAAGGTTAGGTCAAAAGGATACTGTCTGCAAATTTGGGTGTTCTTGTGCATCTACTCTCTCCTCATGTCAGCTGGGTGTTTCACTCTCAGCTCTAGTCCTCTGTGGCTATGTCCTTGTCCATGGGCTCAAGTGTCCTCAGGTCTCACACCACACTGTGGACCAACCAGCCCTTTCTCTTCTCTCTCTCATCTCCAGGTCAATGGACTGTGGTTGAACTCAGCCCATTTCTTCATTGCTGCCTTTCCCCCTCTTCCACTCACTAGTAGACCAATGTGGTCACCAGCAAGCTAACATGCTTGTTTGTGTGTTCCCTTTGAGTTTTAGTCTTAGAGGGCCATCTTTTTTGATGCTTTCTGCATCATTTAATATTTTAGCTATAGGCTTGGTTATGTTCTTCAGTTCTTTCAGCTTGAGAAACACTGACCGTGTTCTTCCTTTGTGGTTTTCTAACACCAAATTTCTGCCCATCTCATCACAGTAATTGACTTTGTCTTCTCGAACTGTCCTTCAAAATTTTCTTTTCAGCTCTTTTACCTCTGTAACTTCTCTTTTAGTTTCTCTACACTGGAGTTTCAGTCTCTTCTGATACACATTTTGCTCTTTTCTGTCTTTCCTGTCTTTAATGGCCTTTTATTTTCTTCCTGCATGATGTTCCTGATGTCATCTCACAAGTTTTCTGGCCTTGTGTCTTCAGTGTCTAAAGCATCAAATATGTTCTTGAAATAAGTCTCTAAATTCAGGTGAGATATATTCAAGCTCATATTTTGGTTCTCAGAGACTTGTCATAATTTTCTTCAGCTTTAGTCTGAACTTATATATGAGCAACTGATGGTCTGTTCCACAGTTGGTCCCAGGCCTTGTTTGGGTTGATGATACTGAGCTTTTCCACCAATTTTTTCCCACAGATGTGGTCAATCTAATTCCTGGTGAGGTCATGCAAAAGCATTCTTTACCAAATTTCTTGGCCTAGATGAGTGAGTGACTCTAGTGCTGCAACAGTTTGCTGAAAGATTTCAATTTGTATTCCATCAATTCCTACAGCCTTGTTCCTTGCCAATGCCTTCAGTACACCTTGGACTTTTTCTTTCAGTATCACTGGCTTTTTTTTATCATAAGCTTCCTCTTAAAATGGCTGAACACTGACTATGTCCTTTTTACAGTGACTGTGCTTTCCTTTCATCTTCTTGTGATGCTTTCTGCATCTTTCAATATTTTGCCCATAGAATCCTTCAATATTGCAAGTCAAGGTGTGAAGTTTTTCTTCGTTTCTTTCAGTCTGAGAAATACTAAGCGTTTTCTTCCCTTGCAGTTTCACAACTCCAGGTCTTTGCACATTTCATTATAATACTTGACTTTGTTTTGTCAAGCTGACATTTGAAATTTTCTATTCAGCTCTTTCAACTCCTCTATTTTTCCATTCACGTTAGCTTCTCTGCACTGAAGAGTAAGTTTCAGAGTCTTTTCTGATATCCAATTTGGTCTTTTCCTTCTTTCTTGTCTTCTTAATGAACTTTTTTTTTCTTCTTCTATGATATTCTTGATGTCATCCGACAACTCTTATGGTCTTCAGTCACTAGCATCTAATACATTAAATCTGTTCTTGAGATGATCTCTAAATTCAGGTAGAATATGTTCAAGGTCATATTTTGGCGCTTGTGAACTTGTTTTAATTTTCTTCAGCTTCAACTTGAACTTGCATATGAGCAACTGATGTCTATTCCAGTCTGCCCTTGGCCTGGTCTTGGCTGATATGGAACTTTTCCACTGTCTCTTCCTACAGTTGTACTCAATTTGGTTTCTTTATATTCCATGTGTTGAGGTTCATGTGTACAGTCTTCTTTTATGTTGTTTAAAAAAGGTATCTGCAATGACTAAGTCATTGGTCTTGCAAAATTCTACAATGAGATCTCAAGCATTGTTTCTATCACCAAGATCATATTTTCCAATGATGGGTCCTTCCTCTCTGTTTCCAACCTTCGAATTCCAATCACCAGTAATTACCAACACATCTTGAATGCATGTTTGATCAATTTCAGACTGAAGTTGGTAGAATTAAATTTCATCATCACTGGCTTTCGTGGTTGGTATATAAATCTGTGTAACAGTGGTATTAACTGGTCTTCCTCCTAAGTGTATGGATTTTTATTCTATCACAGACATACTCCAAGACAGATCTTGAAATGCTCTTTTTGAGTAGGAAAGTGATGCCATTCCTCTTCATAATAAATCCTATGACTGCCCAATTCAAAATGGCCAATACCTATTCCATTTTGGCCCACTAATTAATGCCTAGGATATCCATCTCTATTGAGTTCGATTTCAATTTTGACGACTTCCAATTTCCTAGGTTCATACTTCTTATGGGAGCACAGTGACTCTGTAAAATAAGCACTGGACTGCAAACCACAAATTAGTGGTTCGCGCTCACAAGTTGCTCCATGGAAGAAAGGTGAGGCTTTCTGTTCCCATAAAGATTTACAACCTCAGAATCTCTGTACAGGGTTGCTACAATTCAGACTGACTTAACAGCATATAACTACAAGCATTACGCATTCTGATTAATTATAGTTCTTTGCAGCTATTTCTTATTTTGAGAGTTGTTTCTCATCAGCAAATGAAGGTTCTGAAAGCTTTACTCCATCCACGTAATTAACTCTGGTAGCGTAGTGGTTACGAATAGGGCTGCGAACCGCAAGGTCAGCAGTTCAAAACTGCCAGCTGTTCCTCGGGAGAAAGATGAGGTTTCCTGCTCCTGTAAAGATTTACAGCCTCAGAAACCCTGTACGGGGTTGCTATGAGTCGGAACAGACTCCACGGCACACAACCACCACCACCTACTTTGAGAAGACAGCTCTTCTTCCCCAGTCATCTTCTGAGTGCCTTCCCATCTGAGAGCTCATCTACTGGCATGACACCAGAAACGTTCTGCTGCAGTTCCTAAGGTTTCAGTGGCTAACCATTCAGAAGTAGTCCGCCTCTCCTTTGTAATCAATCAATCTTAGTCTGGAAACACTGCTGAAATCTGTCCACCATGGTTGAAAATACCAAAGGCATAGCTCCAGAATCAGCAACACACAAGTCACCACAGTACGACAAACTGACAGCCACATGGCAGTCAGCTCTTAAAGTACAGTGTGGTTCCAAGCATGGACTTCTCAGATGGGGAGTGTTGGATTGATTCTGGGCTCTCTGGCTCAGGAGCAATCTCACTCTGGCTTTTCCTCTCTGAAGTCACGTCCTGATTGTACACTTGGCTTAATCATGCCTATTTTTTCCAGCTGTTTGAAATATTAAGTGACATTGTTATGTGTGAGGTGTGCTTAGAATTAGACTCCAGAAGTCTATTTCAAGGAAGACAGATGAGATCAGACATTAACAGAGAACAAGGATACAGTCTGAGAATCCAGTGGGCAGAGAATTTGAAGATTTAAAGAGTTGCTACACAACATCCAATGGAAAGCTTGTGGAGGAGTTGTTATCAATGCCATATGACAAGACCAAATTGAAAAGTCTCCTCACCTAATTCTTTATAGAACTGCCAATGTATAGGTGACTTTTTACTCCATGACGTGTAAATACTGTGCAAAGCAGAAAATGATCAAGTTTTTGTTCCCCTGACTTGTACATAGTGCAATGTCCGAGATGAAGCACACTATTGAAAACTGTACTTCTAGAGGCAGACCACCTCTGTGGAAAAGTCTCCCTGCACCTGTGACACCATCCCATACCAGATCTGAATCAGAGGAGCAACTTGCTATCTCTATCACCATAACGTAACCCAGTTTTATTGTAGTTACGTTCATCTCAATATACATAGCAGCATGTTTAAAGAAAAATACTATAAACCAGAAATAATTAAATCACAGTAAAAGCTTCAAAATTTTAATAGGACAAAGAAACCAAAAGTTGACAATAATCACACACACTGTAAGTAAAAAACATATAAACACAGAAAAAGACAGTTAACTTTCTCCACCTTAAGTACATTAACTGAGAATAAAACCGCATTTGTACTATTTAAAACCAGAGGGTTTTTCATTTTGTACTTACTGCTACTTTCATCTCCGTACTTGTAAATGCAGGTTGGGTTTGCAGGACATAGAGTTGAGAAGGTAGATGGAACAATATCTAATATACGTTGGTGGTAAGACAACCTACAATACAAATAACAACCTCAGAAATTATCTTCAATCAGTTTCCCTCTTTAGTAACACTTTGCTTACCTGGAAAAGAAAAATCTCTAACAACCAACCAGAACTCAGGGTACAATCAAGAAGCGGAAAGAGGAAAGGTTTTGTGTCGGTCAGCACACCAAAGTTTTGACTTTCTTCAAAACTTACTGGTGGCTGGCACTGAGATGTGAGCTAGTAGGCCCAGTAACCTGGTAGCCTACGATGTGGGGTGTTGATGGTGGGCCTGGGGTACCACGCAGCACTGTGGGCTATCAAGTCTGGTGGCCTAGAACACAAGGCACTGGTGCTGGAGTAGGGTGGAGGAGCTCATCTGCATGGCTGGGAGAGTAGCTACCTTGTACTAAGTAGGTAAAAAAGGGAGGGCAATGGGAGCACAGTTACCTTCTAGCTGAGAAAGTCTTTATAGTCATCACAAGGGGAAAGCTAAAAAGAAGGCGAAGCTGGCTCAGTCTACTGAACGGGCCTAGAACCAATGATACCCAATAACAAGCACACCAAGTGTCTAGATCTCGGTTTCCAAACATCATACTCTTCGACTGGGAGTGTGGTGGCTCTGTAGGATAAGCACTGGACTACAAATGCACAAAAAATCAGTGGTTCAAGCTCAGCAGTCACTCCTCAGGAGAAAAAAGGAGCTTGCTACTCTCACAAAGATTTACAGCTTTGGAAGCCCTACAGAGGGTCACAACAATTACTAGAAACTAGAACTCCTTGAAGAAATAAATGATGTCAGGGTGGAGGGCAAGAGCAAGAAAACACAACATGAACCTGAAACATCTTGGGCCAAAAAAATGAGAAGGAGGCAGCTTACAGGATTTCTCAGGGACAAGTCGCCATCAAAACAAACGACAGTAATGGATATAGCAAGTAAATAAAGGAATAAATGGGAGAAAAGAACAGCTCTTTCTAACAGTAAAATGGCACTAATAATGGGAGAAGAAATAATGAAAATGAGAATCACCACTTGACAGTTTACCAGTGATGCCTGGTAAAACTGGGGACTGTGGAGACTAAGGCTAGTGGGTGAAAGTCTGATGAAGAACAGAACACTGGCGCAACCTCAGAACACTTCCACAGAAAACTAACCAATCACAGAGGGAAGAAAGATGAGTTTAAGGTAGAGAAACCTGTCAAAAACAGACATGACCAGGAGATCAAAAGCACCAATAATGCAGGACATGACTCTGGTCATGAGGCAGCATCAGAGCGACCCCATAAAGTGAGCCCTATATTCTTTAACACAGACACAGATATAAAAGAGAAAAAACAGCAACTGTTCAAGACTGAAGGCAGCAGAGGAGAACAGCAATTTTTAGAGCTATCTAGATTCCTGGACAGGATTTTGGACCAGAAAGAAAAAAAGAGACACTGACGGGGCAATTGGTAAAATATCAGCAGCATCTGTGAACTGTGTGGTACTATTATGTGAAAGCCGATGTTGGTTATATAGAACAATGTCCTTGATTTGAAGGAATAGACAATGGAATGTTAGAGGATGCTGGGATACTATGTAGTTTGCCAAAATTTCAAAGACCAATGTAATTGGCATAATACATTGAAAGGAGAGTGTTACAGAGAAAAATTGCTAAAACCTTAATTTAACAATAAGGGAATCTGTGGAGTTCTTTGTACTACTCTGACAACTTTTCTGTACATTTCAGATTATTTCAAAGTATAAAATCTTTTGAAAATTACATTGGTTTGGTTCCATTAGGATCCAGATGACCATGACTGCCTAATTTTTTCAGCCTAAATCTTGGTTAAAAACTAAAATGGAAGATAAATAAGTATTTGGATTTTAAAAATGGTATCCCGTACACATACTACAAATGCACGTAACAGAAACAACTCCCTACAATTATAAAACCTAATCTAAGGAGAAATAGCAAACAACTTACCTCATACATTTTTCCAGTACTTCTCTTACAAACTTTGGTTTGGGACTTTCAAGATCTTGAGCAAGACAATCTGACCTAATGAGGAAATTCAGTTGTATGAGCTCTTACACATAATCTGCATTTATACCTAATTTGTATTTTACTACAAATTATGTTTCCTTTTACCTAAATTACTTCATTTATACACAGTATATGAAATATGAAAGACACAAAATATCCCAGACAAAGAGATTCTATGCTTGAGTTTTAAATATTAACAGTTTCTCATGGTAGATTCCTTATGGTGGAGTCCTGGTGTGACACTTTAGGATAAGCACTGGACCACAAGGTCGGTGGTTCAAATGCACTAAGCCAGTCATCGCAAACCCTATATAGCATTGCTATAAGTCTGAACCAATGGACAGCACTTAACAAACAAAACACAAAAATCAAAAAACATGGTAGATTCCAGAGAAAGGAAGACTAAAACAAAAGACAATACCACTTACCAATCTTCCCAGCTCCAACGGAATTGGAAGTTACTTAGATGATGGGAAAACCAATTAATAAACCTATATGGGGTGGTGGGAGGGGGGGGCAGAGGCAGAAAAAGATAAATGGCTGGAATTTTTAACAGGAACTTAAGTAATCCTGCAAAGATTTTCAAAAGCAACCACCTATTTCATACGTAAAGAATATTCCCCTACATAACAACCTATGAGGGTAAGTAAAAAAGTGTTGCTATAAAAAAAAATCACAGACACCTTTCTTAAACAAAAAAGTCAAAATGTGAAGCTGCTGTTTCTTAATATATCTTTGTAGAATTCATGTAAGCTCTGGGAAATTATTTTCTTTGCTTTTTCTCCTTAATTTAGGGCTTGTAATTGTAGGTGACTGTTTCTCTTAAATGCATTTTTAATGTGCCTAGGATATCATTTTCCAAATTCAAATATTTGCTTCTCTCTATTTTCGTTTTCCACCAAACCCCATTTTAGTTTTTAACCAATATTTACACACCAAAATGGCAGTTTGCGAATCCTTGAGGGGCTCCAATCATGTTTCTTTTGGAGTTTTGGGAACAAAGTCAAGTCTGAAGCTATAGGTTGGATGGGATTAGGTTTCCCAATGAAACTTTTGTATGACAGCTCTAGCTACTCTTGACAAATGAGCAGCTGCACTGTGATAGACAACAATTGTTTGGTGCAACTTCCCAGGTCCTCTTATCATCAATGAAGTTTTTAATTTTCTTAAAACACCTTCATAATTAGTCCATTATTACTCTTGTCCTTCAAGAAAATCTATCAAGATTTTTTGATCCCTTGGAGTCTCGAAAACAGTCACCATAACCTTACTAGTGTGGCTCTTTAGGATAAGCATTCAATCTCAAGGTCACTTTGAACTGCAAGGTCGGTGGTTCAAACTCATCAGGCGTTCCTTGGACACCCTACACAGGGTCGCTACGAGTCAGGCCTGACTCAATGGCACTTATCAGCAACAACAACTTTTCAAGCTGACCTCTCTGCCTGGAATTCATCTTTGAGGTCTTTTCGGGACCCCTTAAAACAATCGATCCATCTGAAACCTGTTGTTTATGTGACGCAGCAATCCTGTAAACTTGTTGCAAAGCTTCAACGATTTAGGAACATAAACATTTGATTTTTGTTAAAATTTTGATAGTAGCCTTGACCTCAAAATCTTTGTTTCCCCTGGCATTTCTGAAGACATCTGAATAAAATTAAGACAAGTGTAGTACTGAGAGAATGTTGCCTGCAGTCATCCACTGGTGGCAGACATGTTTAAACTTGTTGCATGGAGTAAACCTGCACATGTATGAACTAGACTGCTAGGAGCAATACTTTTTCACTTATTCTCATATACCTTCCCCTTCTGCATACCCTTTTGGTGAAAATACTGTTATCTTTAAAAAAAAAAAAGTTCCTCACCTCATTCCTCCTAACAGTGCTATTCTTCCTAATAACAACTTCCAAGGACTACATTATTTCCCCCATATGATAGGACAAGGAAACTGAGGCCAAAATTTAAAGAAACTATACATCAAGCATACATGGCAAAGCCACTTTACGGACTCTCATAATTACAGCAAGCTCTTTTCATCTCACACAAGAGAATATACCTACCACCAAAGCCAATTTCCCCCTACAAATATATCTCATCTGACTAAATGGGGAACATTTTTATACATTGTGTAACGCTGCAAATTTTGTTACTAGTCCAATAAGCATTTGCTAAATGAATGGCACTCCTGGTGTGGCACTGTAGGATCAGTACTAGACTATGAACCACGAGGTCGGAAGTTTAAACCCAGCAGCTACTCCTCAGAAACCCTATACAGGGTCACTATGAGTCAGAACCAACTCGACAGCACTGAACAACAACAAATAAACGGCATAATAGGTATGCCCAACACAACTAGTGGTTTTAATTAGAATGAGAAAACAAATCACACAAGAAACTTTCCTAAAAAGTCATCACTCATGTATTTTTAATTCCACTCATTGAAATTACTCAAGGAAATAAATCAGTTCCACAGAATAACTCTTACTGATTATTTTTCAGATAGGGACCTTCAACTATAAACCTGAAAGGGCATGAATTGAAGAAATGTGCACTACTTGTCCTAAACAAATTTGGGGAGCTGACAAGAGGTCAGAAAGAAAACCAGGTAATAATGCTGACCATACAGACCTCTAATAAAGGTGATGTCAACTGGGCATCCAATTACTACAACTATTAAAATCCAATGTAGTCTTTTTGTATAAACTAAGAGTCTTAAAAGGAGCTCTGGTAGCATAGGGGTTACGAATCAGGCTGCTAACCTCAACGTCAGTAGCTTCGTAAGAGAAAGATGAGGCTTTCTGCTCCCATAAAGATTTACAGCCTCGGAAACCCTGTGCAGGGTCACTGTGAGTCGGAACCGATTCCATGGTACTTAACAAGAGTCTTAAAGCTCTAAGTTTGAAAAGACTTCTAACATAGAAGTTAATTATTTCACAACAGATACTATCTATAAACAAACAAAACTAAACATAACCTCAGCTTAGGCATCATTTCATATTAAAAATTAACTAGAAAACAGAAGTTGTGTTATTACCCAATGGATTATTTTGGAAAAGCAAGTAAGAAAAAAAATCAACCTGGAAATCCTTAAGGCAAATGTCCTAGTGATCAAATTGGTTTACCAGGGAGACAGAGATGATGCTGGGAACATCTGATATGAAAACACACAATTACTGTACCTGTCTACGCATGTGGTATTCATTGTGTCCAAACGCATGTATAACATTTCAGTGGCCTGTGCAAGCTGTGAATTTGAAATTAAGGAAATACATTCTCCATTTTCCTCTAAATTGTGACAGAAAAAAAAAAAAAACCCAAAAAACCAGTAATGTTTCTTAACAGTTTTTGTAATGAATACTAATGCCATTCATCTTTTTATGAAATTATTTTCTTAAACAGCTTTGAGACATCAATCAATAAGCTAGTATATATAAATAATAAATTTAACAAGTATACACCGATGAATCAAAGCAATGAGTAGTTCCATCATCCTCAAAAGTTTTCACATGCTCCTAGGACAAGCACCCATTTATTTATTTGGCCTTTTCCTCCAATGTAATGAGTATCTAACCTCCTACATATCTAAGAAAGAAGACTATGTTTGTGTAGGTGATTTTAACTTTTTTTTTAATTCTTTTAAAAACTGAAAACTCCAAGCTTTCTTAATAGTACTTTCTTGAAGTTCTTAACTGAAATAATGAAATATTTATAGACACTTAAGAGGGACCTTAGGGGTTTAGGGAAAATTGAATGAAAATTTTCACAAATTTTTTAAAGCTCCCCCAGATTATGTTTAGACATACACATATGTATGAGCCTGTAAATACATATACTTCAAAGTGGTTTTTTAATTTAAAAAGTATAACCTAGAAGTAGAAATGTTCATCTTTTAAAGTCAACAGCCAAAGAGTATCAGTTTAAAAATAAAGGAAAGGATACAACTTGGGGCAAAGAGCCAGGCTGAAGTTTGCACAGTTCAATGAGAAGTGTTGTGTACATCACATCAATGTGAGGAGGTGCTGGAAGCTGAAACAGCTCTGCAAAAATGACCTAAAAAAGAATCAAGAGTTAGAATCCAATTCAACAACTATCCATGCACTCCCACTTGTAGAAGGCCTCAGTATGTTCAACCTAAACACTAACTTACTGGCATTCAAATGAAAAAAAAAAGAATTACTTTTCAATCTTTAACCAAGATCAATGAACATTTGACTCATACTTTCAGAGAACTGTACAGCTGAATTTCAAATTTGGAAGAACAGGAGTTGATTCAGGGAGGTTTCCTGAGGGACTCAACAGACCCATTAGAATTTCATCTCGATGACTAGTAATAACCCTGGTTAGACTCTGAGGATGGAAAACTCATTCCCAACGACTATACGTAACTTTAAAATGCTGTTAGTTGTCCAGAAGCCTTTTGGAAGTCCAAAACTTCTTTTGCCATGTCTCTTGTTCAGAAACTTCTCCTTTCCACCCTCCCTCTAGAACATGTGGACCACCTACCTAGAATTTTAAAGCCCAGGTCTGCATTCCTTCCACTCAGTAACCACCTCTCCCTCATCTACTCCTATACTTCAATCTGACGAATTTCTACATACAAGGGGCCTTCAAAAAGTTCATTGGAAAATTCCATCATCTTTTAATTCTATTCATCCATGTACTTTTCAAAAGTCCCCTTTTATTTTGAAGATTAAAAAATAGGATCTTCATTTTCCACCTCACTTGACATGTCAATAAGTCAAATCCACAACCAAAATATATAATTTTCAAGGTTTGTAAAGCTAAGACAGATGAAGGACTTTTCAAAAAGCTTGCAAATGAAATATGAATAAAAAGTACATCTGAAAGTAACACATCATACCTATGTCCTCCTCTCTTTCATAAATACTTCAACATAAAGAAATAACACAATTAACAGTCTGACAAATTATATTCCCCCCTTAAGTGTCAGGTGAAAAACCTGGGTTTTTTGGACATAAGTCTCTAATAGGTGTTCATCTATACAATGTCATTCTGTTTTATGAATTAATATGGGGTCAAAAGCATTTCTAATCTTCTTACTTGCAAACTGTTGGTTCTTTTAATTTTTAAGAACTCATTATGAGTCCTGGTGTGGTGCTGTAGAATAAGCATTAGACTACTAGCCACAAGGTTGGTGGTTCAAACCCACCAGCTGCTCACTGGAATCCCTATACAAGGTTGAGTTGAATTGGCATCAACTCAATAGCACTTAGCAACAACAACAAATACTTATCTTTACCTATGATATAGGGAATAATATACTCTGGAACACACTAGTAACAGGTCAGATGAGCACAGTTATAGATAGGCTATCAGCTTAAAGCATTTAAGCCACTTACATATTTGTTATTAGGACAATATGTTGCCAGAGCTAAAGGTAACTTACATTATTCACGAATGAAAGCAAATAATACACAGGCATTTCAAAATTCCATTTTTGTTTCTGGCTTCAACCTCTTCTTTTGTCTTTACTAACAAGACTAACTGAACACCAAAACTGACAACAACTTCCTCCATCCTCTTACTTTTCAGTGTCTGACAAGTAGCAAGGAAAAAAACACACAAATAAAAGCCAAGAGATAGATTGCACTTTCAAGCCAATCTCTGAAACGTAGAGACATACTCTATGTGGAATGCGTACCTCAACTATGTGGTAGTTCAAAGGGATCTTGTTCTTCCCTGGATAGCTCAATAGCTGTGCAGCACTATAAAAAGTGTAATTTAAATTTCATAAGTACACAAAAATACACGAGAAAAAAAATCAAGTAAGTTTCAAAAGCAGTGTGTTTAGACATTAAAAAAACCTCTTCTGAAACGTCTAGACTTTGGTTACTTGGCTCAACTAAGGCACAAATGATTTTATGTTGTATAAGGAAACTTTAACAAATGCAAAATTCCTTGTAAGATCAAAGGAGTCTAAATGATAATACTAAGGAAATGTATTCAGATCTACTAACTTAAAACAAAATTTTAATAGAGTCTACTCCCAAAATACTACATAGTCCTTAAAAAACAACAACAACAAGATTTTCCCAGGTCTTAGTAATATTAGAAATATTTTTTTTCCAAAGCTCAGGTATATAAATGCTAAAAAACAAACAAAAACAAAAGAGCAAATTCATCAGCATTCATTTTTTCCCATAACATTGTGAAAAAAAATAATTTGCCATTCAAAGTAGTTTCTCCCATAAACATATGTAGAATTAACTACACACAAAAACCTGTGTCATATGCACACTTTTATAAAGCACCCAGGAAAGTATTATCTGAAGGTAAAAAGCCCCAAGAAAGCAAAGCAAATTCCCTTAGAGATTGCTCATAATAAGACAGGGGAATCAGAAAGAGAGGAAGAATTTGCTGTAATCTTTACACACATGACTTTGCGCTGACTAAACCATCAAAATAATCATTTTTTCCTCTCCTCTGAATGTACCAGGAAAACAATCTTACCAAGTCTTCCTTTCCTTCCAGTGGGACTTAATGATGCAGTGAAGATTCTCTTCTATTACAAATCTTTCCACTGAATGACTCCCTGGCATAACCGGACCCTGGGAGAAAACCAAAATGTACACACTTTTAGATCTACGAAAAATACTTTCTTTTATTGATTTGACAAAACATTTTAGAGCTTAGTGTGCCATCAACAGAACCACTGTATTGTGTGCTAGGGAAGTTCTGAAAAGTTAAGGTTCTATATTTCAGCAAATTTCAATGTGAAATTAGAATGCCAATGTCAGTGTTTTTCCTACCACATCACACAACATAGTGCCACTACACATAAAAATTACTTTTTTAAACAAACAAAGTAATTCTTGTATATTAATAGCCCTGTTGTTAAGTGTCATAGAGTCAGTTCTCACTCATAGCAACCCTGTATAGGCTTTCCAAGAAGCGACTGGTAGATTTGAACCACAAACCTTGTGGTTAGCAGCCCAGTGCTAATCCTACAGTGCCACACCAGGATTCCTAGATAGTGTAATTTGCCTTAATCATGAGAATAGATTACTCCCATCATAGACACAGACACACAAAAAAGTCATTGCAAGATGTCCTTAACATATTATTTTTTTAAAAAGTTACAAAATATCACCCTCATGATTGTTTTAAAAATATACACATAGCAAACAGGTCAAAAGGGCACATAATATACTCAACGATGACTTTGAGGTGATTTTTTACTTCATATCCTCTCCATTTTAAGAGGAATTAATATTTCATTTATTTATGTTCCTCTGACAAAGAATAGATACATACATTACAGCGCCAACACAAACCTTAAATACAAATTGTACAGACAAAATAAATTTCAAGGTTACATTCTAATAAAATGAGGCCTAGTGGCATAGTGGATTATGAGTGGGCTGTTAAGTATAAGATCAGCACTTTGAATCTACCAGTTGCTCCAAGGGAGAAAGATGAATCTTTCTGTTCCCATAAAGATTTTAAGACTCAGTAGCATACAATCACCACCAACACTTACACAAATAAATACCCAATCACAGAGACTTTAGCAGTCTTAAGGGTAAACCAGACTTCCAACTGGATAAAGCAAGTTGTTATGTAATATCAAGGAGTCCTGGAGTGATGCTATAGGATAAGCAATAGACTGCTAAGCACAAGGTTGGTAGTTCAAACCCATGAGCTACTCCCTGGAAACTCTACACAGCATTGTTATGACAATAGCACTTAACAACAATTATATATGGAACTAATCAAAATGGGCAGCTAGTTTATAATTTTGTATATATAGCCAGTTATCTGACAACTTTGTACTCTTACGTAGAACACACATGCACTAAATTTTCATGGTTATATGCACTAATGTTGGCTTTGGACTAGTATGAGAAGGTAGGAGAAAGAAAACTTAAATTTGACCTTAGATGGTAATTTGATGGGGCTTCAAAAAAGTACATGGAAAAATTCCATTAACTCTTCATTCAGTTTTTCTACGAACTCTCTGAATCTCCCTTGTATAGGTTCTTGTACCACCTGCAATGCCAGTGGTTCACAATGTCCTCAGGGGACATTTGGCAATTTCTGGAGATATTTTTGTTACAACTGAAGAGAAAGTGGGAAAGAATGCTGCTGGCACCTGGACGACAGAGGCCAGGGATGATGCTAAGGATCTTACATAGGACAGTCCCACCCAACCAAGAATTACCCAGCTCAAAATGTCAATAGGGCTGAGCTTGAGAAACTTTTCTCTATGCTGTCTGGGATAAACTAAGTAACAAGTATGGTAAATGTTTAGCCACATACACTTCTATTCAGGAACAATCCAGTAAATACTGTGCTTACTGCCTGGCTATTAAAATGAAGATAGTTAAGTAAGTGCAGCAGTATAAAAGTATTGTTACTGTTGAGGCAGTTCTGACCCACAGCGACCCTGTATAGGGGCCAGACTGCAAAGTTGTTTGACCTGCAGCTCACCAGCTGCTCCTTGGAAACTCTATACAGGGTCACTATGGGCCGGATCTGACTTGACAGCCTTAACAACAAGAGTGACTGGTGAACCTTAACCGCTTACTCTGCTGCTCCAGCCGACTTTGCAGTTCAGCACATTAACCTACAGCACCACACCAGTAAAAATAGAACTTTAAATCAAACAGTAACATCAAAATTATGTTTCTTAATTAAAGTCTGTTTTTAAAATTAATTAATTAAAGTATGTTTCTGCTCCCAGTAAGATTTAAAGCCTAAGAAACCCTACACAGGGTCACTATGAGTCAGAACTGACTCCACAGCACTTAACAACAATAGTTGCCCACTATCTGACTTCATAATAAGTATTTTTGTAAAAACAATAGTTACTTTATATTAATCTATGGGGTTTAATTAAAAATACTTTCTAATATTTACTTTTAAGTAAAAAAATACAACATGCAAATAATATAAAACAAGATGTCAAGTGCTGGAAAAGGAAAAATCTCTTAAACTGAATTTGTTGTTGTTTTTTTTTAAAAGAAAGATAACCTAATTCATAATGTTGTTGTTGTTAAGTGTTGTTGATTGGGTTCCAACTCATAGAAATCCCTGTATAGGGATTCCGAGGCTTTCCAATAATAGCAAACAATCACTGAACACTTATCATGTGTCAAGCTCAAATCAATGTAATTTTTATGTTATTAATTTAAGCATCATAATAATTTTATGAGGTAGATGCTATTATTATTTCTTTAGCAAACTAATGCAGAGAGGTAAACAATTCACCCAAGGTCAGACAGCCAGTGTGTCTGGCTAAGACAAGATTAAAATTCAGATCAATCGGGCTGTCAGATCTACACTCTTAACCAGCATTCTTTGCTCTGTTTAATCTGTTTACACATGCTAAATATAATTTATGACATTAATACCATTAATTGAATTAAAATGTTATCTTCATTGCCATCAATTTTTCTTAGACAGTAAACAACTCAAAATTAACATTTATTATAGGCACAACTCAAGCAAGATTAAACCACAAGTGTAATCAATGCAATACAGATCCTTTGCAGGACTCGGTAGCTGGTCACATACCTCAGGGTCATCTGTGTAATCAAACATTCTAAAGATGACCCTTGGCATCGGGTACACTGAGTCTTCCGTGTGAGGAGGTGGCGTAAAAGGAGGCAGATTGTGTTGCAGTGCTTCACACAGAATGCTGTCAAAGGCAAGGTAAGGTCTTAGGATGTGCCGTTCCTGCCAGCAATCCTTTTTCAATTTCTGAATCTGGGCCCACAGGCAATCTAAATACTGAAAGCAGATTAATTTTTAATTATTAATATGTATTTGGAGGCCAGAATAACATTTTAATAACACCAGAAGTCATCACTACCTTGTAAAATACATACAAAAGCTAAGTTACAATTAAAGATGAGATGATGGAATGATGCTAAATGTTTATGTCTTAACTAAATACTGCTTCATAAAGTCTGTTTGGGACTGTTATAGTTCTCAGATTTGATATTTAAGTTAAAAAAAAATTGTCAACTGTATGATACCAGGATCCAGAGAATAAGGGGATGTTTTTCAAACCCAGTATACTATGTACCTAGAGCTATTAAACTTGGACCCCTGGTGTATAATGTAGGAATCTAGCTGATGTGTAAATGGAATTGATTTGAGTATGTCACCAATATAAAAACTTATTTTCAAGAATCAACTGTACTTGTATCATTAAAAATCGAAATCACTACCTCTTCTTGGGGATGCGGTTTATCAGCAGTCCATACTTGTAGCATGGGTATATGAGTCTTTTGCCGTCTTCTAAAGATAAAAGTGACAATTTACATTTAGGCTTTTAAAACAAGATGCTCAGTTGCTTTCATAATTAATAAAACATAAAGTAATAAAACAACACTTTTAACCGATTAGATTGGCAGATATCAAAAGTTTTGATGATACACTGGATTGTCAAATGTGAAGAAACACGTCGTCTCAAACACTGCTAGCAGAGCAGCTAACTGGTATCTCTTTGGGAGGCAATCTCAAAAATAAAATTGTACAGACATTTCAGCCCTGCAATGCTATTTCTAAGAATTTGCATGGCCTACAAATATATTTGTACATACGTACGAGGGCATTTACTGCAATACTGCTTACGATAACAAAAGACTGAAAATGACCTAAACATTGAGTAGCAGGGGACTGGTTTTAAAAAACGATAGTACTTTAGGGCAGCGGGACATCATTGTTTTTTAAAGATACAGTTAAGTACTTCTAAGCAACAAAATCCCAAGTTATATTTATATTAACAGATTAAAAGTACAGAACTGTATGTATTTTGGCCTATCAGTTACATAAAATAGTGGCACGATATACACTCAAACGTAAACCTATTCAAATGCTATCTTGGAAAGTAGTGTTCAAAATGGTTACTTCAGGGGTAGTTGTTGTTAAAGTGCCATTGAGTCTGTTCCGACTCATGGGGACCTTGTATAGGGTTTCTGAGGAGCGCTGGTGAGTTTGAACCATAGACCTTGAGGTTCAAACTGACCTTGCAGTCCAGTGCATTATCCTGCAGAACCGTATCAGGAGTAGGAAACTGGATGAGAATCAGAAGAGAAAAGAAGGTTTATTTTTCTTCTCTATCTTCTTGGTGTAGTGGTTTAGAGTCGGGCTGCTAACCTCAAGGTCAGCAGTTCAAAACTACCAGCCTTATGTGGGAGAAAGATGAGGCTTTCTGCTCCCATAAAGATTTACAGCCTCGGAAACCCTATGTGCAGGGTCACTTTGAATTAGAACAGACTCCACGACACACCACCATCACCTTCTTCGGCAAACATCTTTTATAAACCAGGATACCTTTTAAAAAATATAAAAAACAGTACATTTTTAAAAACCTATCATTTAAAGATAGTTTAATAGGAAATATGGAATCCTGGTGTGACACTGTAGGATAAGCACTGGACTGCTAACTGCAAATCTGGTGGTTCAAACCCACCAGCCACTCCTAGGAAACCCTATACAAAACCGTTATGAGTCGGAACCGACTCTACGGCACTTAACAACAACAGGACGTATAATTATTATAATGCTGATTGGTAATTGTTAAGTTTACTGAAAGAATTATTATTCGCAATATATAAAATAAACCAAGCTTTTACATGGCTAGGGAAAATTGGGAAATAAGGGACTATTTGACTATTTTAATTGAACTGTGTCATAACTACTCACGTTGTGGTCTAAGATTGTTGTTGTTAAGTGCCGTTGAGTCAGTTTTTTGACCCATAGCGACTCTGTACAGGGTTTCCGAGGGTGTAAATCTTTACGGGAGTAGAAAGCCTCATCTTTCTCCCGCGGAGCGGCTGGTAGTTTCGAACCGCTGACCTTAAGGTTCACAGCCCGATTCGTAACCACTACGCTACCAGAGCTCCTTGTGGTCTAAGATAGTAAGCTAATAATCATTATTTAAAGGACTTGGTTTAGGATTTGCTTCATGAAATGCATATACTGTACTTGCTGGGGCAATGGTTTTCCACCTGTGGAATGTATTAATTAAAAACACAAACAAACATATGCCATCACATCAATTCCGATGTACAATAATCTTGTGTGTCAGAGTAAAACTGTACTCCAAAAGGTTTTCAGTGGCTGCTTTATTGGCCATAGGTAGTCAGGTTTTTCTTCCAAGGTGCCTTTAGATGGATTCAAACCTCCAACCTTCGGTCAAAAGGCAAACATAGCACCCATAGTGATTTCCAAACCTCTCTCCAAAATGTGTGTCTCAGCAGGTCTAGGAGTGGTGGGGTGCCAGAGCACATTTTAGTCACAGATTATGTATACCACCATTTGAGAAACACTGCTGCAGGTTATTTTATGCCTTTAAATAAAGTAGCTTAAAAGAATTTTAGGAACCATCTCTTTTGCATTGGCAATGTGCCGCTGTTGTTGAGTGCTGTCCAGTCAATTCCAACTCAGTGACCCTTTACAGGGGTTTCCCAGGAGCGGCTGGTAGGTTTGAACCACCAACTTAGCAGTTAGCAATCCAGTGCTTATCCTAGTGCCACACCAGGACTGGCAAAATAAGCTAACACATTTGATGTCTTTGAGGTCTAGCAGGTTTTAACAGTAAGTATATGAGGTTGCGTAGAGAAAGCCTTCAGGAACTCTACAGCTTAGTTTTGAGAAATTAAACACAAATGGTTACTTGCTAATAAAATGTACCATGTTTTCACAGCCTTAGGATTCCCTTTTTACAAACGGTACAGAACACTGTGAGTGATGCCCTTACTTCAAGTAGCTTTCGGTGTTGGCGAAGATGCGGTCCATCTCTGCATCTTTCTTTTCATACAATTCCTTTCCAACCCAGGGCAGAGATGACAAGAATGCATACACATACCAATCCTGTCGCACCTAAAGACATTTTTTAAAGATAGGTTTAAAATATATCATTCAATTTTCATTTCTATTTTATTTATTCTTGAATGAAATCTTACAGAAACTAATCAGGCTTAAGAAAGAGAACTACTTCATTAATAGCATTTCTAGATATTCTAATTTTACTAAGACAGAATCATTTAAATGAGCATGCAGATGTCATCAGAAACTACAGTAAGCCAGCTGACACACCTTTAGAGTTTAAAGTGCAAAAATGTTATCTTCTGACTTTTATTACTTAAGGGTCTTATTCCACCCTCAGTTTGTGTAGAAGATTCTGACTACTGGAGACCCCATCTGGTTCCGAGTAGGACTGCCCTCCATAAGGTTTTCATGACTGCTACCTTTTGGAAGCACAGTGCCAGGCCTTTCTTCTGATTGCCTCTGGGTGGGTTCAAACCACCAACCTCTCAGTTAGTAGCCCAGCATTTAATCATTTGCATAGCTCACACATAGCACTAAAGGGAAGTACTTTTCTTACCTGAGGTACATCTTCCTGAGTTACACTTACAAAATTTTCAAACATAGCAACCATTGAAGGGGCAGAGATTACATGACAATTCACAAGACCAGATAAAAAACGAACCTGTTGGGGAAAACAATTTCTGCTATTAAATCTAAATGCTGTTTTTTATAATTACAAAACAAAGCATATTATAGTGGTTTGGAGATCTTAGAAACTATGGCCCAAAGGCCAAATCGAAATTTAGCCCACCTTTTATTTTTTGTATATCCCAGGAACGAAAATATTTTTGTATTTTAAATCTTAAATGATTAATTTTTAATCTCATTAAAAAAAAAAAAAGACAATTTTATGACACAAATCATAAGAAAATTCAAATTCCAGGGTCCATAAATACTTACTGGGAATAGTCATGTTCATCCATTTCCATATTTCTGTATTACAGCAGAGAGATGAGAGGTTCAGCAGTGTGACAGACACTGAAGAAAAGGAGTGTGTGCTTTTGCCCAGTCCCATGCTACATTACACTAAGAAGTCAAATGCAAATCACTTTGCTACTTCAGCCTATAATCTCCTTGTCCACTTGGCTATGAATACTCGTTGACTGGACCATAGAGATGAAGTTTGTTGTTGTTGTTGTTAGGTGTCATCAAGTCAGTTCCAACCCACAGCAACCCTATATAAGGTTTCCGAAGAGCAACTAGTGAGCTTGAACCACCAACCTTGCATCAGACCAACTTTGCGGTCCAGTGCCTTAACCCACAGTGCCACACCAGGACTTACTGAAGCTTACTGAATGGACACTGTGTGCTGTTTTTAAGCACTTTCAAAGCCCCTGCTATCTAGGACTTCACAGTCTAGAGGACACGCACAATTTCGACTCAAAGGAATGAAGCCTATACAAGAGGTAAATCAAAGTGCTCTGGGACTAGCGATGAAAGAAACTGGGAAAGAAAGAATCCGAAAGCAGGTAATACATGTGTTCACAAAAGGGCTGAGAAACATTCTCAACAAGTGGAAAGCAAGGAGGGCATTCTAGACAGAAGGGTTAAAAAACACATTTTTTTCTTCTACAGGAATCTGCAGATAATTTTCATAAGGCTGGGAGTGCATGCTTCCTTTAGGCAATGATGGAGGAATAGACTGAGATAACCCTTTCATAAAGGTTAAGCTGAGGAGTCTGAACTTAATCCTACAGTGTAATGAGGGTCCAACCTTTTTGATTATGTACTCCTATCAGGAGTTCTAGTGTGGCACTGTGGTATAAAGCACTGGATCGCAAGGTTGGTTTGGACCACAAGGTCAGTGGTTCAAACTCACCGCCAACTTCTTGGAAACCGTATACAAGGTTGCTATGAGTCAAAATCAACTCAATGGCATTAACAACAACATCAGTAAAAAATGGAGTCCTGGTGTGGTGCTGTTAAGATAAGCAAGCAGAGGGCCGCAAGGTCAGTTTGAACCATGAGGTTTGTGGTTCAAATTCACCAGGTGCTCCACAGAAACACTATACAGAGTTACTATGAATCAGAAACAACTCCATGGCATTTAACAACAATCAGTAAAAAAGAATTTAATACACATCCCTGGCATATGTGTATTAATTCATAATATACAGGGGACCATTGTCAATCTGTTCATTTTAATATAAGTAAAACTTAACTTCATTTCCATTCAATATAAAAAATTCTATCTACTTCCTGCAACCCAATAAATCATCTTGTACATCACGCTATGAAGACCAGACACTGTAGACAATGTGAAGGAAGTGGTGTTTCAGCCAGCAAGTCTGTAGGAATAGAAGCAAGTTATAGAAAAGACTGCTCTGGTGCCACTTAAGATAAAGAAAAAGGAAGAGAATCTGGATGTAAAAGAGATCAGTTAAGAAGCGGCAAAGAATATGAGAAGTAAGGTGTGCACTAGGCTCAAGATCCTAGAGACAAAGAAAGGGGATGGATTTAAGAGCTATTTACGAGGTAGATCCAACAGAGCGTGGGGACCGCTTACAGTTATGCAGGGACAAAGCAGAGACCAAAACTCTCAGTTTCTAGGTAAGTTGGTTACCCACTCACTAGTTCTAGTAGTCACTGTGTGGTATTGTGTGGATTACGGGAGAGCAGAAGGAAAGAAGGGATGAACAATGCATTTAGAGACTTCCAGGTCAGGGGCCACTACAGGAAACAGTGAAGCTGGAGATACAGAATGCAGATTTGGGGATCATCAATATAAAGGTGGTTTATGAAACTATGAGAGTGTATACAGAGAAGGAAAGTGAGGCAGAACCCAGGGAAACACAAATATTTCAGGAGCAAAAGAAGACGATCAGTAAAAGAAACTGAGGAATAAAAGGTATCAGGAGGAGGGCCTAAAAAAGTGGAACTATAGAAACCAAAGAAGATACTAGAAAATCATACACTGTGGGAAGCACAACTAGGATTTTGAGTGAAAATAGCCACTGGACTTGGTGATGTGCTGTGGTAAAATTAAGGAGACTACATTAGGAAACGAGCTGTTGGGATACATTGTTGTCAAGTGCTGTTGAGTTGGTTCCGAGTCATAGAGATCCTGCATAGGGTTTCCAAGAGCGGCTGATGGGTTTGAATGGCCCACCCGACAGTTCAAAGGGGGACTATATTTCAAGAGAAATTATTTGGTTGTCATCTGCCCTCCCACCCCATTCCAACAAACTCATAATATACTAAAAACAAAACAAAACCCAACACTTACCAAATATACAGCTTCATTATAGTTGTTTGCTTTCAATGATTCTTTAAGTTGGCGAATCATGGCTTCTACAAATTCTCCACCAAAATTGTAATTTCTGGCATTCAGCAGTCCAACCAATGTTGTATAAATTGTCAACTTCTCAGGTAACAGACGCGCACTGATTTGAGAACCCAGTACAAGAAACCCCCCAAAAATGTTATTATGTTAGGCTGCTAAATTTTAAATGATACAAACTTTTTATCATTTCATGGACTTTGGAACAGAACTTCAATATACTGCAAATTAATCCAGAAAAAACCATAAATGTCACTGAGAAGAGCCAGAGACGTGCCACCCTCAATGTTTCCTTTCAATTTTACTTAGGTAATCCAAGAGTAAAGAAAACAAGACATTCTAAGTTATCAAGCTGATAGAAATACAACTAACACTAGAGAAGTCTTTCTAAACACCAGTTGTGTTTAGTGGAACTGAGTATCATTTCAACAGAACATGGCTTCCATGGTAAAATATGGGGGAAATGCAGGTTGACATTATGCAGAATCATTAAAGGGTAACTAAACTTAGTTAACCAAATGTGAGGGGATCAGAATTTTACTGTAGAAGCTCAGCTGAAACCTGACCACCAGAGGTGACCCTGCTGGCATTTAAAATACCAGTGACATAGCTTCCAGTACCACTAGACTAGTTACTTTGAAAAGATACAGAATTATAAACAGTTTCATCTAAGTTCCTCCAGCAAACTGATAAATTCTTAACATGGAGCTCTCAAATAGTAAGATTTGTCTAAACTTCAGTTTGTTTGATCCAAGTGTGATAATTATCACCAGTCATTTGTAAAGTAGGGAAAATTATAGTAACCTTAATTTATATACATTGCAAATATTGCTTCCTTTAGGCAGCATTCAGAAATTAGCTCAAAAAGAAAAGCCAATAAAAATCTGTAATAATTCAATGGAGAAGAGATCCCTCTTATAGTTATTGATAGGGACAATTTAGGGTTTCAAAAAACTTGCATTGATTGTAATCAGACCCCCCCAAACCTTCTCAAAATGAAAAATTATAAGAGAAAACCACTAAGCAAAACTAGGCTAAATCTTGTTGTTGTTAAGTGCCTTCGAGTCGATTCTGACCCATAGCGACCTTGTATATGGTTTCCAAGGAGCAGCTGGTGAACTTGAACTGCCTACTTTGCAGTTCAAATGGCTTTACAGTCTGGGGCATTCACCTATAAGTCATGATTTCCATTACTACTTACGCATAAGTGCTCCTTTATCCAAATGCTTTCAAAGCAAAAGGCATCAACACAGACTAATGTCTACCATAAAGATGACAAGGTCTAAATTGCTATCGTCATTAATATTCACCACTGGGAGAGATTGTTTCATAATTTTATGTGCAAATTTCCCACTTCGATTTCTTCTCAAATTAAATGCTGATACCTGTTCTAGCCCACCACTTATGTGTCCATTTGTCAGATTGTGGTGTCTTGTGTGTTGCTCTGATGGTGAAGCAATGCCACTGGTATTTTAAGTACCAGCAGGATCACCCAGGGTGGACAGGTTTAAATTGAGCTTATAAACTAAGACAAACTGGACAAAAGGAAAGGCAGATCACTTGTGAATGGTTGTTGTTAAATGCCGTTGAGTTGGTTCCGATCCATAGCAACCCATATGGCATTTCTGAGGAGCGGATGGTAAGCTTGAACCGTTGGCCTTGTGGTTCAAACCAACTTTGCAGCATTAGCCACTGAAAATCTTATGAACCGTAGCAGAACACTGTCAGATACAGTGCCAGCAGATGACCCTTTCAGGTTGGAAGGTACTAAGAATGTGACTAGGAAAAGAGCTGCCTCCTCAAAGTAGTTGTTAGGCACCACTGAATGGGTTCTGACTCACAGCAATCCTAGACACAAACAAAACAAAACACTGCCCAGTCCTGAGTCATTCTCACAATCATTGATACCCTTGAGCTCATTGCTGCTGTCACTGTGCCAACCCATCTCATTGGGGCTCTTCCTCTCTTTCAGCAACCCTCTTTTTTACCAAGCATGATGTTCTTCTTCAGGGACTGGTCCCTCCTGATAATATATTCTAAGTGTGAGACATGAAGTCTCATCAAGTCTCATCATCCTAGCATCTCCAGAGCATTCTAGCTGTACTTCTTCCAACACAAATTTGTTATAACTTCTGCCAGTCCAAGGTACTTTTAAGATTCTTCTCCAGCACCATAACTCAAACAAATCAATTCTTCTACGTCTTCCTTATTCAATGTCCAATTTTCTTTCACATGCATATAAGGTTTTCAAAAATACCATGGCTTGGTTCAGGTGGGACTTAATAGTTCTCAATCTGTTATCTTTGCTCTTGAACACTTAAAAGATTCACCTAATGCAACATGCTGTTTGATTTCTTGACTGCTACTTCCATGAGTGTTGAAGATGGATCCAAGCAATATGATGTCTTTGACAACTTCAAACTTTTCTCCATTTATCTTGATGTTATATATTGGTCTAGTGGTGAGGATTTTTGTTTTCTTGACAACCCATACAACAGGATGGTGTGGTCTTTGATCTTCATTAGTAAATATTTTAAATTCTCTTCGCTTTCAGCAAGCAAGATTGCATCATGTGCATATTGCAGGTTGTTAATGAGTCTTCCTTCCATCCTGATGCCAAGTTCTTATTCTTATAAACCGGCTTCTTGGATTATGTGCTCAGCATACAGACTTAGTAAGTAGGGTGAAAGAATATAACCATGGCATACACCTTTCCTGATTTTAAACCTTTCAGTGTCCTTGTGTTTTGTTCTATGCTAACAACTGTCTCTTGGTCTATGTACAGGTTCCAAATAAGCACAATTTAAGTGTTCTGGAATACCCAATCTCTGCGGTGTTGTCCATAGCTTGTCAGGATCCACACAATCGAAAGCCTTTTCATAGTCAGTAAAGCACAAGTAAACTTCTGTGCTTTCAGCCAAGATCCTTCTGACCCCAGCAAGGATCCTTATTCCACAGTCTCACCTCTGGCACTTCCCTGTCAATGTACTGCTGCAGTCATTTTTGGAGTACCTACAGCAAAATTTCACTTGAATGTGGTATGTCTTTGCACATTTCACTACTGATATCTGACTTGGTATTCAGGAGCTGACCTTTGACATTTTGTGAGCGCTTTTACCTCGCCATTTCTTCCATTTGTTTTAGAATCTCTACACTGGAGAGCAAGTTTCAGAGTCTCTTCTGACATCTAATTTGGATTTTTCCCTGTTTTTTATCTTCTTAATGACATCTGCTTTCTTCCTGTATGATGTCCTTTATGTCATCCCACAACTCTTCTGACCTTTGTTCATTAGTGTCTAACCATCAAATCTGTTCTTGAGACCGTCTCTAAGTTCAGGTAGGCAATGTTCAAGGTCATAGTTTGGACTTGTTACTTCAGCTTCAGCCTGAACTTGCATATGAGCAATTGATGGCCTGTTCCACAGTCTGCCCCTGGCCTTGTTTTGGCTGATATGGAGCTAAAGTGTTCTAGCTAACTGAACTCCAAAAAAGATTACATCGATTAATAGTTTCAAAAGCTAAGCACCTGCAGTCTTTAGAGAGACTATTACTTAATTGACCAGTTCTCAAATACACTTGGTACTGCTGGCTAAAAGGAGCCCTGGTGGTGCAGTACATACAATGCTTGGCTGCTAACAAAGAGGTCGACAGTTCAAGTCCACCAGGAACTCCATCAGAGACAGGTGTGGCATTCTGCTTTTGCAAAGATTTACAGCCTTGGAAACCCTATGGGGTAGTTCTGTGTCCAATAGGGTTGCTATGAGTCAGAATTCTGGTTATTGGTTAAAATTTTAAGTTAAACAAAATGTGCACGCTTTAAAAAAAAAAAAAAAAGTTCCTCACTGTGAAAGTGTCTACTTTTCCATTTTAAAAGTCAAATGATTCTAAGATTTTAAGAAACAAAACATAAAGAAAAAGGTTAATTTTACTTTCCTAAGAAAATTTAATTTATCCCTAAGAAAAACAGTTCAGCAAAGGGCCAAAGGCTATTTAATTTGCACAAATTTCCCCAAAGAAGGAAACACTTCCCAAAGTATTTAAGAGAAGATAATACATTATCACCTGGATTCATAAACGATTTGCATACATACACTGTACAAAGAATCCTTAAGATCTTGCTCTTGTAGTTAGGAAGATCAGCTTCCAAAACACCAGCTAGGCCTTCTAGGTTGCTCTCCAAAGAACAGACACTCTGTTGAGGATATCACATTAAATATGTGTCAAGCACTGAGCAATAAGAGAATCAAAGTAAAATTTCTAACAATAATTTTAAAAAGCTAAGGTCTTATCTGCCTAAGGAACTGTAATAGGATCAATATAAATCACGCAGGATAGATACTGGTCTTTAGAAATCCAGGTTAAAATACTTCAATGGTCTCATACAGTAAAGTATTAGGACACCACGGACTTTATTCCATCTAACTAATTCACAGTGACTCTGTACAAGCCACCTCAAGTATCCAGGACATGTCTGGCAATTCACTTATCAGTTAAGAAGGACTATCCCTAAGGACCCTTTAACGTCATATTCTATAAAAGTTACTAGGAACCTTTAATTCTCAATTATCCGTATCCAAGGGATTTTAATATGTACTTAATTTGGGATACAGATGCACAGCAATAGAAGCTTTGCCTAAAACTTAGGCCATCGCTTCCAGCTGCAGAAATCAACTCAACTCCATAGCTCTAAAGCTACCACAGGTTACTACAGTGGTACATACCTTTTCCCCAACTTTGCAAATTAAAGATTCCAAATGATCTTCAGTTGCATTTGCATCAGATGTCTTTCTCCTTTTGTGAGGTTGGCCCCCTGTTTCAATTGTTTCAAAAAAAAAAAATTACTATAGCACACATTTCAGCTGGTGAGTTTAAACTACCGACTTCTAGGTTAGCAGCCAAACATTTAACCCACCAGGACTCTTTACATATCGTTTAGGGTAGAGTTCCTCACAAACAATGAGAACCAAATAAATACACACACAAAGAAAAATCTTCAGCCCTGTATCAGATAACTGGCAGAAAAAGTCTTATATATTTTAAGATTCCCTGCTTTATCTGGCTCTTAATTAACTAAACAATTATTGACTGTGATTACATTAGAGAACGAATATCCAAAGAATCCTAATAGAAACAAAATTGCCTACCATAAATGGCACAAGACAACTGACACCACCACAGACTCACAGTAACCCTGTACAGGGTTTACAAGGAACGAATGGTGAGTTAGAACTGCTCATTGTATCTCTGATTTTATCTTCTATTACTACTGGACTACTGGACAGTACGAGTCCTGGTGTGGCGATGTGGGTTAATGCGCTGAACTGCAAGGTTGGATTGAACTGCAAGGTTGTAGGTTCAATCTCACCAGCCGCTCCTCCGAAAGCCTATACAGGATCACTATGAGTCAGAATCGACTTGACAGCACTTAACAACAACAACAACAACTGGACCATAAAGCCAGTTTGAACCACAAGGTCAGAAGTTCAAGCCCACCAGCTGCTCCTCAGAAACCCTATACAGGGTTGCTATGAGTCAGAACTAACTTGACAGCACTTGACAACATGCTTGGTATACAAGAAGCCTCTCTGTGTGTTAAAATCAAAGCAAGAAGTACAGTGACGTGTGTAGTGCAGAGAGCCCTGAACTTGCTTTCACTGAGACCTGGGCACTTCTTGCTGGATAGCTCCATGTTAATTACACCAAATCTCTGTACCATAGGTGTCAGATGAGGCAGGACTAGAATATCCTCTCAAGCTTTACCCTTAGTATAAATATGGTGTTTTATAGCTAAATATGTAATTCTGCCCTCACCTCTAACAGTCCCCCATACTGGAGGAAAAAATGTACTCAGAAGTTTCTGTTCTGTTATTCCCCCCCACCCCTTACATTGTGGTCATCTGCTAATAGTTATGACCAATTAAGCATTAAGAAAGGAGCTCTGTTAGCGTAGTGGTTACGCATTGGGCTGCTAACCTCAGGGGCAGCAGTTCAAAACTAACAGCTGTTACATGGGAGAAAGATGAGGCTTTCTGCTCCTGTAAAAATTCACAGCCTCGGAAATCCTGTACAGGGTTGCTATGAGTCGGAACCGACTCCAGGGCACATCACAACAACAACAAGCATTAAGAAATAATGATTAAAAAAAAGTTTAAAAATTCCTGAACCCCATCCAGAATCTTCTGAGGTGGGAAATGTTCACTTGAAAGGACAAACAGAAAAGCAGACCAGCCTGGAGCAGCTGGAAGAACTGAAGATACTTCTTGAAAGAAAGACGCACAGAATAAATAAAAAACAATAATGGCAGTCTGACTGACTACCATTTGCTGGCCCAGGAGCACAAACCAGTTGGCCAAGAACAAGCCAGTTGCTGGCCCAGGAGCCATTAAAGAAACTGGTCCGGTCCCCTCAGGGCAAACCCCCTTCCAAGACTAAGACTAAAGGGGAATACACGAGCAGGCATGTGGTCTAAGTGGTGACCACGTTGGTCACCAATAAGGGGAAGTGAGGGAAAAACAGCAATGAAGTTGTGAGCTAAATTGTACCACGTTCAACAGATTCCTGTGAACCAAAGTTGACCTGGGGACTCCTTGGCTCAGAGACAGTGACATAGCCACAGAGGACTAGAGTGGAGAGAAAAGCGTCCAGTTGATAAGGGGAGATGCACAAGAACACCCACACTTGCAGATAACACCCACTTGATCTGGCTTCAATGGCTGGATGATCATAACAACTAGAAAAAGGGAAAAAAAGAGTAACCTCATACAATTTGATGAACTTGACCTATACCTATGGACGCAGTAGCTCAAAAGAGGGAACAAATCTTTACAGTGAGGATCATTCCCACCCCCTCAGTATACAGGTTAGACAGGGATTGGCAACTTAGACATTGGCTACCCAAAATGGGAGGGGTGGTGGGGGCTACATGCTTTCAAGAGGGAGCCAGGATGTAGACAGAGGGTGTGAGGAAGGCAGAATCTCCACTGAGGGGGTATCCAATTTGTCTGGACCAGGCTGATGAAAGGAGATATGGATAAGACTCTTGTGGTACAATAGTGAATAACTGCTATTAGGCCTGACTGTGAAGGTTAGAAATGTAAAGGTAGAGGTTTTCTAACAAAAGAAAGGGAGTGATTGACTTTGCAGTCAAGAAGCAGAGGTCCCTAGGACTAAGTGAGAAGAGCAGAGTGCAGTACCCTATCCAGAGAAGCAGTGACACCAGAGATGGAGGCAGAGAAGATGATGTGGAGAGATGGAGTGGCTGGAGGACTCTAGACCCAAGGAGGGAGAGGGGCAGGCTTGCGGGGTATACCCTTTGGTTGTTTAATGCTGCATAGAGGGTACTGTAATCATGGCAATGAAAGGATATACGATAGGATGAATGCAAAGCTAATGTTCTCCCATGTAAACTACTACATAATTCACAATAAAAACTTTACACACACACACAAAAAAATCCTGAGTCATTTGTAATCCTCACAAAAACCAGAAGAGGCAAAAACATTGTTGCATATTACCGACCAGGGTGGAAAGATGTTATACAGTCTGAGCAAGATCACACAGTAAACAGTGAGGGCTAGCTCCCAAATTGTGACTTCTCAAAGCCTACATTCTCTTCAACTGGTAATGCACTAAAATATTAATAACAGAATTGACCTTTACTGTCACTCGTGTGTGTTCTTGACTGATTTGTCCTGTGTAGTTCTGTAGGATAAATCACTGGACCGAAAGGTCGGTTTCAACTGCAAGGTTGGCTGTTCAAACTCAACAGTTGCTCCTTAGAAACCCTACACAGGGCCATTAAGAGTCGGAACCTAATGACTTGACGGCATTATACAACCATGTTTTAACAAGCATCCTTTTTTTAAAACTAGTAAAATTCTTAAGTTCTTATAATGGACCTATCATGATCTCCAAGAGCACCAGCACCCAAACGAAAATGGAAATCCCCAACCGAAATCCCGAAGAGCTCTCCAGCTAGCTTTTCTGCACTTTCCCTCACAGGATGGGAGGGTGTTTGCGGCCAGTTTAAAACCTAATTTAATACAACTGCTTATCAGTGACTTCTTAGGGGAAGAGATAAAATCACTTCCCTGCATCTTGAAAGGCGGCAAATCAACGCACGCACGGTTCACTAACAGAGCTCGGGCTGCAATTCATCTTTCAAGCCTGCTTTGTAAAGTGTGGGGACTGCAGTGTTTTCAGGGTGCAGCTTTGAGGGTCACACAAGACTCTAGCACCAGTAGATACCGTTTTCCTTGAGTCAAACTGTGAAGAGTTCTTAGAGACCCAGGGTTCACCCAGCCTCGTTTCTCCGAGATCGTCCGACAACAGAAAGTGCGGTGGAGGGCGGAAGCAGTGTATTCTCCCCCAGCCCGACCGGCCACACCCCCGTCCCGCCATACTCCCAGGCTCCACAAACACACATGGGAGAAAAGGGCTTCCCGTCGCTTCCCCCGAGATGCGAAGGCCAAGGAAGGCAAACCTCGGCTCCCACCTGGGCGCGCGGCTTGGCGGCCAGGCTCCGGGCACTCACCGTCATTCTCGTCGCTGTGCCGCCGCCGCGACATGACGCACACTGGAGTACTTCAGAGCAGAGCCGTTGGACAGGAGGAGCGGCAGGAACCGTCCAGCACCCACGAAAACTGGGGTGAAGCCCGAGAATCTGCCGGCGTGCAGGCGCACACACTCGCTCCTGCTCCCGGAAGCGCTAAGAGGATGGTGAGCTAGATGGGCTCGGCCGCTAAGATCTGGGAGAGTCGGCGCGTGGAACTTAACCAGGCCACGGGAGTCAGATCCGCTCGCAACCGCCCCCTCGTCCTTCCCCGCCTCTCGGCAGCTTCCTCCTCCCGCCTTTCGCTCTAAGTCCTTCCGGGGCCACGCAAAAAGCGCAGCCGTTTCAGCCAGTCAGAGCCCACCGGCTACGAGCCACGCTTAGAAGGGCCAGTAGTTTGAGAGTGGCTCTCTAGTCTCAGTCTTAGCTTCAGCCTTGCCCTTGGGTCGTCTCAATGGTTTTCCCGGCGGACCTTTCGCTAACGGCCTCTAAGACTTCCGGAGCGAGGTGACGTAAGAGCGTTCGTTTCCACGTAAACACAAACCCCGGATTGTAAGTTTCAAGTGCAGTGAGCAAGTGACAATTGCTAGGTGGACTCTGTGCACTGAAGAAAGACCCTATATCGGATTGGCGGGTACGTGCTCATCTTACCCCCGCTTCCCGTCAGTCTTTTTCTTTTTCAGGAAAGCTTGGTGGACAGGTTGGGGGCAGGCCCACGGCGCGGATGGAACCGGGGTGTAAGGATCGTTATTGATGCGAGCCTCAAGTTCCCGGGAGTTCCCTCTGCCTGTCATCTTACCTCTCATCGCTACGCCTTGTTTAAGAAAGAACGAGTTGACTGTTTTAGTGTCGTTGGCAACTATGCATATGAACATTTACAGTCCAGACATCTCTGAGCACCACGCCTTCTGATCTAACTGCTTTGTCCATGGTCATCTGAACTCTTGTTTCATCCTCCTGGCATAATTTATTTCTTCTTCAGTCGTATCCATTCCAGTTGCTTAATCCAAAAATCTCCATTGGTCTTCTGAAATTTCGCAGTCCATAATAGAACTCTTGTTCCACCCTCCTGGCCTAACCTATTTCTCCTTCAGATTTATCCTTCTAGTTGCTCCGACCTAGGTTGTAGTCATTCATTAATCATCCTCTTCCTTCCCGCCTATTTACCAATCTACCCATATCTCTTATGGGCTCTTATTGCCAGAGCAATTCCAGAGTGGTCCACATCTCTCCACTACTGTAATATTTTTCTTCGTTTGCTGACAGCATCATCTTTCCCTCTGCTGAATGTCAGAACCCGATTGGCTTCCTTGCGTTTTTGCTTTCCTGCAATCTTTTGCCCATTATAGCAGCCAAAAGGATAGTCTTAGAAAATGTACATCAGATCCTGCTACTTCTTTGTTTAAAACTCTCTGATGACTTTCCATTTCAAACTCGAGACCGTAACATACACTACTCTCATTATTGTGCTTCAACCATCTGGCTTTCTTTCAGTTCCTTCAATAAACCAAACTTGGCTGCACTTTAGAAACTTATATCACTTTTTTTCTTTTGTCAGAAGGTCTCTGATCTTCTGGTCATTTAGACCTTAGCTCAAACATCAGATTCTTAGTGAGACCTTCTCTGGCTACCCAAATTCACAGGTCCTACCGCCAGATGATTCACTGCTGTTTCATGTCATTTATTCAGTCATGCATTCATTCAACAAATACTGTATTTAGCACTTACTATGGAGTCCTGGTGTTGTGCTGTAGGATAAGCATAGGACTGCTAACTGGAATGTCAGCAGTTCAAACCCACCAACTGCACCTATAAAACCCTATACAGGGTTGCTATAAGTCGGGACCAACTCATTGGCACTTAATAACAGCAGCAGCAACACCTACTTTGTGCCAGAAGTCCTGGTGTGGCACTATAGAATAAGCACTGAGCTGCTAACCATGAGGTTGGCAGTCCAAACCTACCAGCTGCTCTTAGAAAACCCTAGATCGAAGTGACACCAGAGATGGAGGCAGAGACTATGAGAGATGGAGCGGCTGGGGACTCTAGACCCAGAGAGGGAGAGGGTCTGTGTGCTGACGACCAGGGTGCAGGCTTGCAGGGTATACCCTTTGGTTGGTTGATGATGCATGGAGGGGATTGTAACCATGGCAATAAAACAATATAAGATAGGATGAATGTAAAGCTAATGTTCTCCCAGGTAAACTGTCACATAATTCACAATAAAACATTTTTTAAAAAACCCTAGATCGACTCAGTGGCACACCACAATAACAATATGTGCCAGGCATCATTTCTGGGTTGTGCAAATGGTTAACACACTCAGCTGCTAACCAAAAGGTTGGGAGTTTGAGTCCACTCTGAGGCACCTTGGAAGAAAGACCTGAGAATCTAATTTTGAAAAAGTCAGCTCCTAAAAGTCCTGTACAGGCCTGGTGTGGCACTGTAGGATCAGCACTGGACTGCCAACATCAAGGTCAGCAGTTCAAAACCACCAGCTGCTCCTTGGAATCTATACAGGGTCACTGTGAGTTGTACAGGTCAACAGTACTTAACAACCGCAGAAACTTTATGCAGCGCAGTTCTGGTCACACAGGGTTGCCGTCAGTCAGACTTGATATCAGAGTAGACTTGATGGGTACTAGTTTGGTTTGGTCCATGTGCCAGAAACTTTTCTAGATGCTGAGACTATAGTGAACAGAAGTAAAAAAAAATGCTTTCAGGAGCTGAATTCTAATGACCCACTTAGGAATGGGCAAAAAGACCTGTGCAATCTGTAGAGGGAGCAAAGCGGACACTTGTTATGTGCCATCCAGTTGATTCCGACTCAGTCACCCTGTATAGGGCTTCCAGGGACCAACTGGTGGGTTTTAGCTGCTGGCCTTCCAGTTAGCAGTTCATTGTTTATCCTATAGAGCCATACCAGGACCCCAAGGGAACAGTTGTTGTTAGGTGCCATTGAATTGTTACCAACTCATAGCAACCCTATGCACAACAGAGCAAAACTGCCCAGTCCTGTGCCACCCTCACAATCGTTAACTATGCTTGAGCCAATTGCTACTGCCCTGGTGCCAATCCATCTCGTTGGAGGTCTTCCTCTTTTTCTCCCATCCTCCCACTTTACCAAACATGATGCCATTCTCCAGGGACTGATGTCTCCTGATAATATGTCCAAAGGATGAGTGACGAAGTCTGGCCATCCTGGCTTCCAAGGAGCATTCTGACTGTACTTCTTCCAACACAGATCTGTTTGTTCTTTTGGGAGTTCAATATTTTCCTCTAACACCGTAACTCAAATGTATCAATCCTTATTCACTATCCAACTTTCACATGAAAGTTATTGAAAATACCAGGGCTTGGAACAGGTTCACCTTTGTCCTCATATTGATACCTTTGTTCTTGAACACTTTAAAGAGATCTTGTGCAGCAGATATGCCTAATGCAATACATCCTTTGATTTCTTGGCTGCTGCTTCCATAAATGTGAATGGTTTATCCAAGCAAAATGAAGTCCTTGACAACCTCAATCTTTTCTCCATTTATATGCATGTTGCTTATTGGTCCAGTGGGGAGGATTTTTGTTTTCTCTTACGTTGAGATGTAATCCATACCAAAAGCTGTAGTCTTTGATCTCCATCAGTAAAGTATTTTAAGTCCTCTTCACTTTCAGCAAGCAAAGTTGTATCATCTGCATATCACAGGTTGTTAATAAGTCTTCCTCCAATCCTGATGCCATGTTTTTCTTCATATAACTCAGCTTCTTGGATTACTTGCTCAGGATACAGGTTAAATAAGTATGGTGAGAGAATGCAACCCTAGCACACATCTTTCAGGTGGGATATGTTCAAGATCATATTTTGGCTCTCGTGAACTTGTTTTAATATTTTTAAAGCTTCAGCCTGAACTTGCATATGAGTGATTGTTACACAGTCTTTCCATGGCCTTATTTTGACTGATGTTATTAGATTTTTCACCATCTCTTCCCACACATGTAGTCAGTTTGATTTCTGTGTATTCTATCTGGTGAGGTCCATGTGTATAGTCATCTTTTATGTTGTTTTAAAAGGTATTTGTAATAAATAAGTCATTGGTTTTGCAAAATTCTATCATGCGTTCTCCAGCATCATTTCTATCAAGGCCGTATTTTCCATTTTGATTGCATGTTTGATAATATCAAAATAATACATTTTGATTGCATGTTTGATAAATTTCAGACTGAATAAATTGGTAGAATTCTTCAATTTCATTATCAGAGGCTTTAGTGGTTGGTGCAGAAATTTGAATAATAGTGGTTTTAACTGGTCTTCTCTGTTGTTGTTAAGCGCAGTTGAGTTGGTTCCAACCCATAGCGACCCTGAACAGGGTTTCCGAGGCTGTAAATCTTTATGGGAGCAGAAAGCCTCATCTGTCTCCCGCGGAGCAGCTGGTAGGTTCGAACTGCTGATCTTGTGGTTTGCAGCCTGATTCGTAACCACTATGTTACCAGAGCTCCTTGGTGTTCTCTGTAGGCATGTGGATATTATCCTGTCACAGACAGCATTATATTTCAAGATAGATCTTGAAATGTAATTTTTGATAATGAATGTGACAACCATTCTTCCATTTGTCATTCTCGGCATAGTAAACCATGTGATTGTTAGATTCCAAGTGACTAATACCAGTCCATTTCAGCTCACCAGTGCCTAGGATGTTGATCTTTATACGCTTTATTTCACGTTTTAATAACTTTCAATTTTCTTAGATTCATACGAGGGCTCCTTAACGTTTGTCTGTGGGTCTTGGCCAAGTCCAGAATCGCTGGAGCAGAGTGCATGAGGGGACAGCTGCCCGAATGGGCCTAGAGAGCTAGGGAGCAAGGTGTTTCAGGGTGGCTGCTTTTCCTAAAGACTTTTGATTATGACTTGGGTGGAAGGTACAAAGCAAATTGGTTTTCCATTCAGTAGTTCAGACACAGTTTGATTCATAACATTGATTGCAAATTCTCACAGTGTAACAGCGCTCTTCCCCCTTCTTCCCTGCATTTCC